TATATATATATATATATATATATATATATATTAATGTCAGAATCTTACTGTGGACCAATTAAGAACAGCGTCTCTCACAATACCAGACAAGCTCAAGATCCTGATCACTATGGAATCTCTTCAAGAGTAGGAATGTGGCGGTCATCTTATTACCATGCGGCCTTGATCGAACGGACAACTGCGTCATGGATGTGACTGATACCTCGTTGTCAATATACAAAAAAAGGCTGGGAATCTAGGAGAGGAGTGGAAGAACGCCGTAAATAGGTTTTGCTGCTGCGGTGTATGTGCGTTAGAAACATGGCACAGTTCAAGGTTTCCTCCCTTCCATCGATTTCCGGGGAAGGAGACGGCGGACGAGCCGTTTCCGGTGCCAAAATTGGGGCAGTCTAGCCGCTAGCTGCACCAGCGAAAGGTTTGTTTATGGAGCGTTTGGCTACCGACATTGCTGTATATATAGCTCGTTGGCGAGGGCAATCAATCACTTGGGGACTCTCCTCCTCATCCTTTCTGTCATTCCTCTGCTCTTCTGAAGGTTGTTTCTCCTCCTCCGGGGACCCTCACACCTCGGCGCAGTTAATACCCTCGCGTCTCTTCTCGTCTCTTTCCATCAGATACAGATTTTTCTTTGTTAGAATAGAGAGGCCTTTCTCTGCTTTGTATCCATGCGTGATATATCCGTAGTTCTTCCGTGTTTATTTTGTTGACGAAGCGAACACCAAAGTACGGTTTTCCTTGATGCGTTTCAATCTCTCTGTAAAACAAATACATCAATTGCTTTCTGCAAACGAGGCAAAGACCTCAAACTCCACTAGCTGATCAGATATAGTATTAGGAAATTAGTTTCATGGTTAAGATTGTTCAGAAACAATATCTTCATTGGTTCTCTACGCCAAATAGTTATGATACGTTCTCATATGCTTGCTTGAAGGGGCGGGCATTCCAAGAAAGAAACAACATGGGGACGGTAGGCGACAGCGGCGTCGGGAAGCCAAAGAGAAGGGCTTGGAGTTGCACCAAGCAAGACTTCCTCCCTGAGGAGTCGTTCCAGAGCTGGGCAAACTACACAAAGGCCTTGAAAGAGACCGGAACGCGGCTCAAGGATCGGATCACGTCGCGGTCTCTGGATAACCTGGAGCTCACCGAGATCAAGGGCCGGAGTGGGTTTGAGATGAAGAAGACCCTCTCCTGGTGGGACCTCATCTGGTTCGGCATCGGCGCCGTCATCGGCGCCGGCATATTCGTCCTCACGGGCCAGGAGGCTCGTGACTCAGCGGGTCCTGCGGTCATCCTCTCCTATGTTGTCTCCGGCATCTCGGCCATGCTCTCCGTCTTCTGCTACACTGAGTTCGCTGTGGAGATTCCAGTTGCAGGTTCGGGTTATCTACTAACGACAACCAATTAACTATACAAAGGATTGCTGATGTCGATCGACCGTTGCCACTCTCACACACTGTTCATCCATGCATGCCCGTTTCAGGTGGTTCCTTCGCATACCTTCGAGTCGAGCTCGGCGACTTCATAGCTTTCATCGCTGCCGGCAACATCCTTCTCGAGTACGTGATTGGCGGCGCCGCGGTCGCCCGCTCCTGGACGTCTTACTTCGCCACGCTCCTCAACCACCACTCGAACGACTTCCGCATCCACGCCACCAGCCTCAATCCTGACTACAGCCGCCTCGACCCCATCGCTGTCGTCGTCATCGCCTTAGTCTGCCTCGCTGCTGTCTCTTCCACCAAGGCGACCTCTCGATTCAATTACGTCGCCTCCATCATCCACCTGGCCATCATCGTCTTCATCATCATCGCAGGCCTCACGCAAGCCAACCCCAAGAATCTCTCCGACTTCACTCCCTTTGGTGTGAGAGGAATCTTCTCGGCCTCTGCAGTGCTCTTCTTCGCCTACGTAGGCTTCGATGCAGTGTCCACCATGGCCGAAGAGACTAAAAACCCCGCCAAGGACATCCCACTGGGCCTCGTTGGTGCAATGACCATCACGACTGGCTGCTACTGTCTACTGGCGCTAACGCTTTGCCTGATGCAGCCTTATTCACAGATCGACCCCGACGCTCCCTTCTCGGTCGCCTTCCAGGCCATCGGCATGGACTGGGCCAAGTACATCGTCGCCTTCGGCGCGCTCAAGGGCATGACGACCGTGCTCCTCGTGTCGGCCGTCGGCCAGGCCCGCTACCTCACCCACATCGCCCGCACCCACATGGTTCCTCCATGGTTAGCCGAGGTGCACGCCACCACCGGCACCCCCGTCAACGCCACCGTGGTCATGCTCGTGGCCACCGCCGTCATCGCCTTCTTCACCAACCTCGGCATTCTCTCCAATCTCCTCTCCATCTCGACGCTCTTCATCTTCATGATGGTTGCAGTCGCCCTCCTGGTTCGACGTTATTACGTCAGCGGCGAGACGACCGACTCCGACCGGAACAAGCTCATCGCCGCCCTGGTGCTGATCTTGGCCTCTTCTATAGCGACTGCTGCGTACTGGGCGGCGGGCGGGATGGGGTGGGTCGGCTACCTGGTGTCGGTGCTGGTTTGGTTCCTGGCGACGGTGTTCTTGTGGTGGGGCGTGCCGCAGGCGAGGGCACCACAGACGTGGGGCGTGCCGCTGGTGCCATGGCTGCCGTCAGCGTCCATTGCAATAAATATTTTCCTGCTCGGCTCGATCGACGGTCCGTCGTTTGTGAGGTTTGGCATATGGACTGCGCTGCTGCTCGTTTACTACTTCTTCTTCGGGCTCCATGCATCCTACGATACTGCTAAGGCCGCCTCCAACGATGGTGTATAAAAATGAAATGTTCTGTCTCGCCGGACTTTGCTATTGCTGTTCATCATTTCTGGATCATCAACGACATCTTCTTCTTCCAAAAGTTGACCTAAATGTTGAACAAAATTAGTTATATTATTTTATTTGATTCAATTAATATCAAAGGTGCATATAATAATGAGCATATCAATGTCAAAATACAAGTCATATTTAATATTTGAATTGATCTTAAGAGAACAATCATATTTAATATTTCATTCCATCTATTAATACGAAGGGAGAGCATATAATAACATACGACGAAATCAGGATCATAAAGACTGTGACGCGTAAGGTAAAAGATCGTCCGTACGTATTGGCCTCGTCGTCCTCCTCCTCCATCCCGAGACTTCTCTCGCTCTCTCTCTCTCTCTCTCTCTCTCTCGCTTTCGCCCCCCAGATATTTGGCAAGCGCCGCGGCAGGGCAGCTTTCGCCCCTCAGGTAATGTCGTCGGTAAGAGGATCTCCCTTTGTTTCTTGTGCATTTGCTATTGTTTCAATCACATAATGTCATCCTTCTATTGGTGTTTCCTCCCTGATTAAACCTTCTAATCGGTAAAGATTCTTTCTTTCTTGTCGAAATCGGATGTCAGTTTCAAGAATGTGACGCTTGTTTTAGGTTAAAATATGGTCTGAATCTTGTGTTCTCTTCGTCTTCCTCCACCCCGAGTCTTGCCCCCCCCCCCCACCTCTCTTTTTCTCCCAATCCCTCCACGTCTCTCTCTCTCTCCCCTCAGATATTTCGACCTCGTAGTGTCAGCTTTCGTCGATAATGTGGTCAGTAAGAGGATTTCCCTTTCAGTAAGATAATGTCGTCCTTTTCGTGTTTTTGACCGACTAAACCTTCCTGTGAGTAAAGATTATTTCTTTGTTGTCGAATTTGGACGGTTGCTCCTTTTTAAATCGGGATCGAATGAATCGAGGGATGTGTTCATGACACATTGGCGATCCCGTTCTTCTGTGGGTGCGGAAGATTGGCCCCTAAAAGTTCAAATTGGGCGGCGTTTGGGGAATTCTCGAATTTGCGCAGACTATCATTTTCGTTACGTCCGCAGAATGCTGCAGGAGAAGAATAGCGATTCTTGAAAGTCCCATTTTTAGCTTATATTCGTGTTGGCTTCAGCTACTGTGTGCTTTCTACTGCCCACATACTCTCTAGTTGGAATATTTGCATTGTGTTTCATTTTCGCTTGTATTTGTTGAATCAGAGACTTAAAGCATTGTCATTTTTCTGGTGATGCATTTAGTGAGGGAAAATATGCAATGTCGATCCTTTACATGATAGTCGAGTTGTTGCAACAATTGTTTCTGCAAGATGATAATGCATAGTACAAGATAATGTTTGCATGAGTTCCACTGTAGTAATGCCGGCAGAGCTGAACTTGGCCGATTCAACGAGGACAGAAGGTGATGTGTGGAACCTACATGTGCGGTATACTATCAAATTGAAGGTGTCTGTCTTGCTATGTGAAGTAAGAAATTACATGTTTAATCTGCTTGTAGAAGAACTGGCCAACTATTGCGTGTTTTCACTGCTTACATCTCATCATCTTTTGCTGTATCTGTTTCATTGCCTCCTCCTCCTCCTGTCATGATATTTGTCTTCTTTCTGAATGCAGCAGGAGAAGGGTGGTCGGCTACGCAAATTTGGAGAGTGGGATGTCAACAATTCAGCCTCTGCCCAAGGATTTACTGTCATGTTCGACAAAGCTCGAGATGAAAAGAAGACAAAGCGTACGTCTAAAGGCAGATCCCACCTACCGGTATCCAAGAAAAAGCGTACGTCCCTCCATTATTTCCCCCATTTTAGATGAACTGCCCTGTGGCAATCAATAACTTGATCAATCGAGTCGAGGCTGCTACCACATTCATTTCAAACCCATATAAGCTAGTGATGCTCTCTTATCTTCTCTACGTTACAAACTTGGATGGATGCAGAGAAAGTGGTTTTGCTGTGGTTGACTGCTGGAGAAGGAAGGGCTACATCAGCGGGTAGCTCATGGTCCAAACACACATCTGTATTATATATAATATATCAAAACGACAGAGGAGTGATGATGGATGGGGAACAATTTATTTATTTGCCACTTTACTGTAAGATACGATTGTGTATTCAATCTAGGTGGGAGGATTACTGGAATAATAATAATAATAATTGTCCAAAGAACCACATGGAGTTGTTTTTCCCTTCTTTTGGGCCATCTTGTGGGATTTGTCGAACAGAAACTAGAGGAAAAAGCTTTGCATCACCTTTGGTACCCTATTAACGCAGCACTGCACTGCAACGATGAGGCATAATCTAGCGTGTATTTAATAACCAAAATCTTCTGGTCTGTGATTTCAGGAAGATCATGACATTAAATAACATGATATGTATGAAATGTATTACTGGCATTTTCTTATATTTTCCCCTCGAACAGACAGCCAAACAAAATCGCCTGAGCTTGTAATGCCATCAGATTTAGGGAGACTTTAACACCCAAAAAATCCACATGAACAAATGGTGGACGGCACTCACGACTTCAACCAACAGAAATGTTCATCTTGGAGTTTGTGGGTATCTCTCAACTAGCAACAAATATCACAATTCACAAGAGCTTATCACCGGTAATACAAACCAGAAAACGAGCAACATATCATTGTAGATTAGACACACAACATACCATTGTCGATTAACACCTACAAACCATATTCAAGGAAAAACCTCAATAGAAGGAATAAAACACACGAGGCATCAAAAAGAATTGTAGTTCAAATGCTTGTATTCTGCACAGGGTTCTAAATAGAGTAAGTGATTGTTTCAGTTATTCCTGCAGGCTTGACATCCTCTAAGTAACACTAATTTGTACACATGCACTAGCTTTCGCTTTTCAACACTCGGGCCTTCACTTTTTTGCGAGATCAGGTTCTTTAGACAGTGGAGTGTGTCTGGCACTCCATCAGTACAATAAGTTTAGTTCCAACTCTTTCTCAACATACCCCAAGACAGATCATCATTGTAGTATAAACATTACAAACAATGATGGAAAGAAAAGGAGAAACAATCGAGACAGATCTCCACAAAAATCTGTGAGCAAGATGCTGCAACCTTAATGCTTTTCACACTGAATTGATGGCCTGTCCAACTACTCTAGAGTAGTTTCCCCTTCGGACACATGGCGCTTCCACTTTCCATCGCTATGCCTCGATCGTCTTGGTGCTATCTCATCCATGCTCTTCTCACTCTCATTTTGGAAACTTTTTCCTGGGCCATATTTATGGTCGGAAGCCCTTTCACCTTGCCAATATGCACCGTCATCATCTGCTCCACCGACAGCCCCAGCCATCACCTGGCTCCTGTTGCCCTGATCAGATCCAGTCTCATACCGATCATTTCTATCACTAACTGGTCTCCTGTGGTCCCTCTTTGCAGCCCGACTGTTCAGTGGAGGAGCTGGAGGCGGATGTAGGAAAGGTGGGACTCCGACAGGACGATTTGCCCGACCCATCCCAGCCATTGGCATGCCACCCATAAATGGAGCCCGCCCAGGACCCATCATCATCCCAATGTTACCCATTGGGAAAACAGCCCCTGGCTGTGGGGGCCTACCAGAAAAGACCAAGCCTGCTGAAAAATCACCAGAAAATCTCGGGCCACCAAACTGTGGAAAAATTCGGGGACCAAAAAGATCTGGTGTAGAGAAACCATCACCATAACCAAATCCATCAGCCCCCATCATTATAGGAGGGAAGCCACGAACACCGAGCATAGGTCTTCCTCCACGTACCAGTGGCATGTGTGGCTGCCACATCATCCCTCGTCCTCTTCCTCTCCCGTGTGCAGCTTGGCCGCTTTCATCATCTTCCTCACTTTCTTCTTCCTCGCTTTCTTCTTCCTCATTGTCCTCAAACAGAACTATATCTGGATTATCTGTTGCCTCATCTGCACCACCTCCCTTGGCCTTTTCCTCGTCACGTTTGGATTCTGCAGCTACCAGCATAGCCTAAACCATAATCCACCATCAGAATTGAGATAAATTTTAGAAAGAAAAATAAAGACAAATAAAATAGCATCCAAGAAGAATAACTCAAATTGATCTATGACCAAAATGACAACAATTCAGCAATATGAGCTACAAAATTGGGCGATTTCACAGTAAGCCCCAGATGGTTGAATATACAAGCAGATTTACCTTTCATAGAAGTGAATCTATTAAATGAAATAAAAAGGAAGACAACAAGATGCTAAAATTTTTATATTAGGCAAAAGTGTCACTATTTATCTGAACATCAAGCCTAAAATTGTCGTTAGAATTCTTAAGTTGTATTAAAAGCATGTAAAATCACGCAATTTCATGATCTTGAGTGCTTAGAATTAGCATTTTAAAAAAGTTGCTAGTTTGGTGTTTGGGTTTATACAAACAAGTTATGGAATCATTTGACAAAAGAGGTTATTACTGTGATTCAACTCCATGTCGCCTTTAGATCATGAAGGAGCAACTTAACCATGATGCCAAATTGTACCACCCTCAACATTGACGATAGTAATAAATGAAAACATTTAACAATTAAGGCCTTGGCATGAAAAAAATGAGGCAAAAAAAAAAAAAAAGAAGAGTGGATCTTGAAGTTCCTAAATTATACAACTATCAATTACTGATGTATTCATATTTGCACAGTCATAAGCACCAAAGTAGATGGAATCAGATGCAACCAAACATGGGATCCAATTATGTCAGGGCCTCGAGTTGAGTGTTTTTTTTTTTCTCAAGCCTCTTCCTCTACTTCAACTGTTGTATCAGTTATCTCCACTGCTCAAGCTTCAAAGAGATGCAAAAAATGCAGGTAATCGGAGATAAATGAGGAATCACATACACAACTTATCCAGGTGATATTGTCAAACCTTTACTTTTTTATTAAAAGATATCACAAAAAACCAAAGCAGAAATTATGGAAAAAGACAAACATTGCAGACCCACAAAGGTAGATTAATGTACAAATTACTAATAAAATGAAAAGTATTCAAAAAGCAAAAAGCTCATTCAGTAGACTAAACATGAGCTGACTGCGTAATAATAAGGATTCATGGATCAAGGACATGCATTTCAGTGGATGTTCAACATGGACCAAAAAATAGCAGACTTAATAATCCAGAGGCAAATGACTTGGTAACAAGTGAATGTTCTATGTCCCAGGCATTAAACACTCCAAAATCAGAATCTGAAAATTGATGTCATTCTGATGACCTGAAAACATGTGTGTTGAGCAACAGACAAAAGAAATGGCATTGCTTAGGCAAAAAGCAGTCAAGGCTCTTGTATTTTGAAGTTAAGACCCTTGAGATATTTTTACCTTTTTACTAGTGATCACTATAATTTTTGCAACAGTGCATGCACCTACCAAGAATAACACAAATTCCCTAGAATCTGCTGCATAATCTGCATTGTACAACCCTAACAGTCTGAGATTTCACAATATCTTGAACTCTAATTTTCCTGGACATATAGTCAGATTGGTTTAATGTGATAATCAAATAGGATTTGAAATCACCAATAGAAACCTTTTTTTGCCCATGGCAACTTTTCTTTCATGGCATTGTGCACTCTTCTGTCTCCCATCTTCAACCTGTTTTAGAAAGAAAAAACTCCATCCAAAATACATGATAGGTTTACCATAAACAATGTTGTATATGTATATTCCTGTATGTGCAGACAAGGGACAAGAAATAGGCAGAAAATTCAATTTCATAATGCATTGGAAAACTGATCTCAGGAATGGTTGTTTATAAATGTCAAGCCCATGTTAGTTCGAAATGCTGAGTTCTGAGTTATGATTAAATAAGCAAGGACCAGAACATGAAAGGAAAACTATTAATTTCACATGAAAGGTAGACCATGCAGTGTACGCATAAGGGCTGTTAAATATTTAATGCAAAATTCTATGATAGGATGGCAAATGCTGAATTGCATAAGAAACCTTATACAATTTTTTGTTCCAGTGCAAATTGTGGGAAGAAACTATGAGATGAACCCAACAAACCACAAGTCGTGATTGTCTATTCAACTAAGACACTTAATGAGATGTCTTCACAAAAGGGGACAATTTTGGAACTGGAAAACTACTTATAATAATAATTCTTATGTGTTAACTCTGGATCTTCTTCACTCCTCACTATTAAGCCTCACTGGTTTTTTACAAATAATCTTAAGTTACAAAGTTGTAAAATCTAGTTTCGATTTTATTCTTGATACTTCATTGATGACAAAAAAAAAGAACTTATACGTATAACAAGGTTTGAGAAGGTTAATTCATACTTCAGCTACAGTGAACAAATACACTGCAAGGAACAAAAAGTTGAGACAGTCGAAAGGGTAGCAGCACACCATGAGCTCACTATCTGGCTCGAGATAAAGCAGTGAAGCCAACTGTTCACCAATAAAAGGCTCCAACTCTTGACAGTCTCGACTTATCTGCAATTAAACAAGAAGCCAAAAGGTAAATAGATGTGTTAATAAAAAAATTATTTAATTCCAATAGAGAAAAAGTAATGTAATTACAAGAGACGTAATTTGGTATTTTTTACATAATTATAAGTAATCTCACAAGAGCTGCTAGGTAGGTACTTTATATGATTCAAATTTGATGTGTCATTTTTATTTTTGTGATCATATTTAATTATTTATCAATCATAATATATATATTTAAAATTTTAATGTTTAGGAGTGCCTCACTTCGCTCGAGCAGGCGCCTAGCGCCTTAGGCATTTTGGAATCTTGGCACCAAAATATTTTTGGACCTTGTTGTCTTTTGACACCTAGTGCTTTTAAAAACGTTGGTCACATTAACCTTGGAGTCTGTTGAACTCCTTTGGTAACAATTTCCCCTTACATATTCTCTACCAAAATTATTATGCGTTCATTTCTATGTCCTCATCTCAGCAACATTATTCTTTTCTGTACATATATTTTGAACTGCCCAATATCCAAAAAGCATGGTTGCTGACCTCACAAGGTGCTTAAAACTTTTTTCCTTTCAATACCAACCATACTACAATCATACAGAATTCCACTGTCCACACAAACCATCCCAATTAAACTCCATGTATAAAATTTATACATGTTAAAAGTAAATAATGCAGCCAAACTCAAGTTGATCTAGATCCCTCTAAATTATCTCCATGTAAAAACTCATGCTATATTTTTTTTGGGCACATGGTGGATGGTAAATGAATTTGGAATCTCATAACTTGTGATAGAGAAATTTAGAGGTAGTAGAGTAACATAAACAATTTAAATTGCTAGCATGCAAATCAGTGATAGGTTTTTATCCTAATCAAAAGAGTTTTGCTTTTGTTCAACTTGAAATGAGCTGCATTCTATTCATAGGCAGATACAGTTTTCAGAGATAAAGTGTTTCGCTCAGAGATTGTCAGAGTGATTTGATCCATTTAAGTAGCATTCTCCCCTCTCTCTCTCTCTCTCTCTCTCTCTCTCTCTCTCTCTCTCTCTCTATATATATATATATATATATATATATACATATATACATATATACATATATACATATATACATATATATATATATATACATATATACATATATATACATATATACATATATATATAATGTGTGTGCATGTGTGCAAGCTCATGCACATGCACATGCATGTGTGGGTACATACAAAGCCTATACATAAAATATGGATAATGTCTGCTGATTAAAGAAAATAAAAAGCAGATGAACTTTGTGAGTTACACCTTAATGATATTTTTGTATTTTACTGTTACATGAGATGCAGCCAATAAAAAGCTGATGACGGAAGTCGGAAATAAATCCTGCCTGTTGTAGCAGCTACATTTGTTTTAGCAATTAATGTAACACTTAAAGGAGTCTAAAATAACTTTCGAATCTGAAACAATTCAAGAAATCAGAAATATTTTTGATATTTCTGAAACAAAATGCTGCAGAAGAAAGAAACAAAATGCTCTAGACCGACTGTAAAAAAAGAATCCAGGCAAATCCTTGAATGCATAGAGAATAAAGCTCATCTGATTACAGAACCAAACAGGCCCTAAAAGAAACTAATAGGAGCATTAATAAATTATAATAACCCATTTCCAATTATGACAAAAAGCTAGGGATAGCATAGATAAATATCAGATGGTTGGTCATCTTGATTTCTATCAGAATTCATTATTCATAGATTGCAAAACATTGAAATTAACTAAATTTAAACAATCACTTTCAAGAGGATTGACTTAATATAACTTCGATTTTAGAAATGAATTGTCAAGTTATAGCACAAGTGAACCAGTCGAAGAATTTTACCAGCATTCTTAATCATTGCATGCCTATAGGAAAATGAAAAGATAGGAAAGGAGTGTTTTTGACACTGAAAGACTGCATTTCAGTCTACCAAGACTAGTTCCAATCTTGCTGTGATTGGAAAGAAAAAGACAAAAGATATCATCAGATGAAAGCTCTCTTCTTTCTCAATTTCAAATTACAAGGAGATGTCAAACCATACCTTCACCGGGAGATTGTCATTATATGGGTTCCTGAGATGATGAGTTTTATTGAAGGACAACTCACAGAGCTGCAACATGAAATCAAGTCATCAAAAGACATGAAACATGAACTAGTCACCATCTGGAGGAAAAGATTCAATGACATAGCAAATATAAAAAAATAAGGTGATAGCAGATATTTTGCATGTTTCAGAGAAATAAATAGATATGCAATTTCAGGAAGATGTTAAAAAGCTCTAATCTTCATGACTATCTCGTCACATTCAATGAGAACCATTATGTGAGACTGATTTAAAGTAGATCTCCATCAATAGGACATGAGCTTTGTATTTTACCAGAATGAATATGCAGCAAAAGTTCTGTCATCTCTTACACAAGGAACAATTTTCAAATTGCTTAAATAAAACTATAAATCATGACGATAACGGATGTCACATGCCAGTGACATTTGCTTGGCCCTAGGAATCTTCTTCACTATTCTCCTATCACGAAATGCATCTTTTCAAATCTTCGTGTTAGGAGACACACTTGACGTTGAAAACCTGTTGCTAATTTGTTAGTACATAAGCATTGAGAAATTGAAAAGAGAGAACAATCCCAGAGAAGCAATTTCTAACAAGCTGAGACACACACTTAACTTTGCACTATGCCAAAAGGAAAATAATCAACAGAGTGAAAGAGGAACCAAGCAGGCATTCACGAAAAGCAAAGAGACATGTCTAGACTTAGAAAACATAGGAATCCAAGCTAAATTTCCACTAGCAATTAGATATTGTCAAACTGATCATACCTTCAACCATTTAACTGAAAAGTTTCGACCATAATGTGCAGTTCCATGAGAATATTTCCAGTTCCCTCCACCAACAAATCCACCAATCCTAGATGTCATCTTACCGCATCCCTAATAAATTATAAACAAACATTGTATATTTCAGCACAGACTATATGATCATGAAAAGCATGGTAAGAAATTGAATGAATTTAGATTTCACTTCATGTAATACTTGCCACAGGTTCACACGATGTGGTTCAGGAAGGAAAAAAAGAAAAAGAAATCTATGATACCTGGAAATGGCGAGTTTTGTTGATTGAGAATATCAAAATAACATTCTCTGTGGACTCAAATGCTTCGTTAAGTTTTGCCTCGTTGCTTCTTTGAGTTGCCCACATACCCTGCTGAACAGATATTTCCAGATTTTCCCGATTGCAGCTTTTTACAATAAAATACCTAGTTTTAAAATAAAATTTTAATCAGAATAGCAATATTGTGTCTAGTCAAATCCATCCAAAGGTAGCCAAGTATGAGGATATAATATATTGTAGAAAAATATGCACAACACCCATAAAGTGCAATTATCAATACTACCTGAGTAAGAAAGAGAAATCCAACAAATCTGATAAGTACGCCTCATTAATATTGTTCAGCCTGGTGGAAGAGGCTTTACACTAATAATGGATTACAGCCAACACTGAACTAGTTTACCACATTTATTATACCATTAGAATATTTACAACAGTAGTCACATCATAACACCAAGTCTAGGAATTTAGATAACCACAGATACCAATTTTCATCTGCTCAACATGCAGTGTGTAAGCCAAGGGGAAAAGCCATCCCAATCATGCAACTAACAATCAACATCTTACAATCCACATCAAGGTGGTTTGAACAGTTCGGGCTACAATCCTTGTATGATAGGTCAGAAGATCATAAATATTGGTTGACATTATGGATAATACAGCATTCATACAACTCAACTTTTCTATTTACACATTATTCGACAGTGTTTTATTCTTTTAACCACTTTCACATTTGAATGTTTCAGCTAGCTTAACTGGTAAAGATTTTAACAGTTTATCACAAGATCTGAACTCGAATCCCACCTTCACTATTTTCCCTTTGCAAAAAAAAAAATCACTTTGACATTCTACATACCCTCATGCAGAACTATATTGTATCCAAAAACCATTGACAGTTTTTATTATGGTAACTAAAATTAAAGCTTGCCTCTTATTTATGTTTGTTAGACATGATGTCTTCTCCGCTGATTTAATTTTAGCTACAAATTGATTTCTAGTTTTACAGAAATTACAAATCATTAGCTTTCAAGAAAGTTGCAGATAAAGAAAATATGCAAAAATATGCAGATAAAGAAAATATGCAAAAAATGTTGAGTGATATTCATAAAATAAAAATCGGCATTTAACGAAAGTGCCCAATCTAGAAGACTTTAGTCTAGCTAAATCCTTAGCCTAAATTGTGATAAAGTAAATTTTGATTCAAATCCTGTAACATTAGTACAACAGGATGAATAGCATTTAATGTATTAAAACAAACAAAAATTGTATTCAGACATCAAAAGCATGCCCGATATTCATACGTTGATAGAATATATGAAAGCTCTATAAGTGTATGTTTACAATGGCTCTTTTGGTTGAACCAACAAGCAAAATCGGCATGCCAAGAAAATTATCAATTATCAAAAGCTCGTCCAATATTTTAAATAAAGCAAGGTAAAATACTTAGAGCCATCAGTGTACATATGCAAATGGTTCTTTGTTGGACCACCAAAGCAATTATACAATCTGAAAAATATCCAAATTTAAAGCATGATTCATAGTATAGTTATGATCTGGCTACATAACTTCAAGTTCATTTGCTTTCAGGGGATGTGGTTCAAAGCTACTTTACAAAAGTGAATCTCAGGTTGCTGTTACTTCATGAGTATGTCAAACTATGACAAGGCTGCTGGTTAGTACAATGTACAATCTGTGTCAAATAAGTTAAGTGCAGATAAGCAAACAAAAAACAAAAAGAGCACAACATCACTTCAATACATGATCAAGATCAATAGATTTGATCCACTAGCTAGTTCTACATTTTACCAAGATGATTAAAATGTAATGCAAATAGTACAGCCAATCAATGAGCTACTTCTGCTTGCCTCTTGGTCCTGTTTGCAGGTCAGTCAAGCAAGTAGGATCAATAACTGGTAAGCTCTCTTGCTCACTGCCATGTAAGAGGAAAAAGAAGGAATCCTAAAAGAATGAATTCCCAATTACAGTATTAAATAACATTGATAGAGTGAATGAAGTCCAAAATGGAGTCAGCGTTTAGACCTCTTTAAGCTATATACAACTTGATCTTGACCTTTAATAATCATGTCACAAGTAATATACTACAAGTTTTCACAGATCAGACAAATCTAGAAACTCCAGACACACCTAGATTGTCCCTGAGGGAGTGGAGATGCAGTTCTAACAGTTTGATTCGACAAGGCATTTGAAATACTTGGGACCTGGTTCTCCAATGATGGAATTGGCAGTTGTTGCTGCTGCTGCTGCTGCTGCTCGGACTGCTGCACTAGCGACTGAGGCAGCTTTACATCTGATGGTTCAAATGAAGAAACTGGTTTGACTCCTGTATTTTGATTAGGTAACCCAGGAGTTGATGACAACTGATTCTTATCTGGTTGTTGGTTATAACTATTGTTATTGTTTCTGTGGTGATAAAATCTGTTTGAAGACCCATAAGCAGAATTCAGATGCTGTATCTTCTGGAGAACTTCTTCAACAGGAGGAGGAGGCCCAGGAAGTTTGGCATGACGATACCGACAATCAGGTCCATTGGGGCAGAAACCAAATTTGTACCTGCACAAGATACAAAGTCAGAAACTCGAGTTAAAATCTCCATAAGCTTAATGTCTGACACGTTTTCCCATAAACTGGGCATTGATGTCATAAAAAAGCATTACAACAATCATCAATCAAAATTTATTCATACTGTTAAGATGTGCTGTTGCGATGATGATACTAAAAACCAACATCAACCCTCGAATAGTGGAATTTTTATTATCCACAACCAAATATTCATTAGCAATAAAAATTCCATCAGAAAAGCAAAAGCATGAAAAATGAGAAATGAAGATCAATGTCGCTGTTATGTTTTTTTGAGATAAATGTATTAATTTTCACTCTTTCTAAATTTAGGATAGAAGTAAAGAACCCGTAACCCAATGAGAGTCCCATTTACAAGTCCTCCTCTAAAGTAGATAATCGCTACTACTGTGCCCTTTTCATCTTCATCTTCCATATATTTCCTTCCACCCAACTGTATTCTCTTTTCATAAAAAATGGCAAGCAACAATAATCTTTTTCTGTTCAGAAAAGGTGAAATAACTTCCATACATGTGCTCAACGTGTTGCCAGCAATAATCCCCACACTGTTAATCCATTTGTACACCACCAAAACACTCACAGAGAACACTATTTTAATCTTCATGCTTATACATTTGTAGGATCTTTATTTCAGTGCCCAAGTCAAACCAAACCACAGAATTGATGTGGGTATACAGGCCTTACTCAAGAAATGGTGATAGAAACCAACAATTTTAACAATGTGCTCACCATTTAATTAACATGCCCCACTCTAAGCATCATATAGATGAAATTATTAACAGATAATAAACTGCAGCAATGATGCTGAACAAAACTGAAGTCATCATTGAGTCCATTGCAGGTTAGTGTCGGGTTTGTTTTGACTCCAACATATGCACGATCTTAACAAATTTTTATATTTGATGTACAAATAAGGTTGCCAGCGGCTGCAACTTCTGCGTGTTTGGCTGGATGAAAACTATTCTCCCTTTTAGTCAGCAGACCCTACATCTTTTATATTTTATTCTAAAGATTCTTCTCAGTTCTTCTCTTTCTCTACTAGGCCTGCAAATATCCTCTCTGCAGATAACAGAATAAGCCTACATATTTCTCTTGTTTTCTCCCTATTCCCCTAATTTGTTATTCTTGGTGCAGGTTTCGTTCAGAAGCATACCCTATTGATCAAAATCCGAAACCTTCATCGCTTAAATGGTCTACACCCTGTGATCCCTTTGCTAAGCCGATGTTACTGTTAGAGACTGATGACCCTATTTCCATCTAGTGGGAGGTTTGATCCTATTTTTTCAACAGGAACATCGATGTGAAGCAACAAGAACAAGAAAAGAAGGATGCAGGAACATGTCAGTTAACGTGAAAAAGAAGTTCACATCAAGAAATCATAGGAGGGCCAAATTGAAATCATAGACATCTTCAAGAAAAAGTTACGACTGGAGATCCGTCGCGTGATGAAGCGATCAGGCACATAATTAGTGTAACGATTATCAACAGAAGCGAAGAGATATTGTTCTAAATACATACATATTGCACTCCTTGATGTCCTCGTTAGTGTGCTTGTAAACACAGTCCTGCTCGCGGCACTCTCCGTACTGCCGGAAGAAGCGGCACACCGGCATCCGGTCCTTGTCGTACTGGTGGAGGAAGCCGCAAGCATCGCCCTTCATACAGAGGCCACGCAGCCAGTGGCGGCACACCGTCTGCCGGAAGCTCCGCCTCCCGGAAACGTTCCCGCCTGCGACGGCCATCCGATCGGCCGTGCCAGAGGGAGAGGAGGCTCCCGCGCTCGCCGCAGCGGCGGTGGGGTCAGACGGGGCGAGGGGACCAGAGGCCGCCACCGCCGCAACGGAAGGGGCGGCGACATCGAGGCCGCCCTCGAAATCGAAGTTGAGGGATCCTTCGGGTTCATCCATCGAGCCCCGACCAGGGTTCTTGGGGCTGATCTCCGGGTTGGGAGTTAGGGTTAGGCTTAGGACTTTAATCTTGCACCGAGGAGACGACGGAGGAAGAGATAAATGCACGCCGTTTTTATAAAAGATTCACCCTCTCTGGTTGCTGTTTCTGTGGGACCCGAAGAACCTATGAAGGGGGAAGTGGAATCGAGTGGGGTAAGAGTATCGAGATGACCGCTACGGGTGATATCACGTACATACCAACAGAGACGAGCCTTACTCATGGTATTTATTTTGACGGTAGATACCGTCCCTTTCTTGAATCAGACGGCGGCTGTTGCGGTCGCGTCGAGAGGCGCTTTGGATAGATATATATATGTGTGTGTGTGAGAGAGATGCATTCTCTTAAATGCTTGCTTCGTAGTTGGTCCGTTGCATTCACAAAGCCGAGTCATCACTCGGACGACGAAACACAATGAAATGTAATTACACGCTTGAAAATAAGAATGCAAATAAGGAGGTTTGCGGGAAGGATTCACTAAACGAACGAACAGATCAATCACCGTCGGTTGCGGATCCAACGGTCAATTTTTTGGTCTACGCAGAACCCAATCGGACCTCTGGGCCGCTTCTACGGGCTGGACTGAAAGCCCAACCTGGCCGGAGCCCGAACCCGGAGCGGCGGGCGTGGACGACGAAAGCCACCGCAGCCGCGGCGAGAAGGGCGGACCCGACGATGCCGCACGCCACGCCCGCGGCGAGGAGGACAGCACTGGGACCGTCCCGGTGCTGCGGCCGCGGCGGCGCTAGCTTCCAGGCCGGCTCGGAGACGTTCTGCGCCTCCGGGAGCGCAACCTCCGGCCGGCCGCGGAAGAATGTCACCATCGCCGGGGAAGCCGGGCCGGGGTCCTTCTGGTGCTCGAGGCCGTGCTCTGCTGGCCGGACGTCGTGGGCCTCCGATCCGACGACCCAGACCGCGAGCAGAAAGAGAGCGAAGAGCTGCAGACTCGGCGCCATCAGTTCTCTTCCAACGAGGCCTCCTCTTCCGCAGCCTATGATTACGTCTTCGCCCCAAAAGCTGCAAAATGATAACCAATATAAACTCTGGTGGACTGCAAAAACTTCATCAAAGAAAGCTTCTTTTTTTTCTCTCTGTCGATGGAATTTCTAATCTTTACCAGCTAATTTTCCGGGGAAAAAAAATCGAATTTTCAACTAAGAACGAAACATACAAATCCTTGAAAGAGAAATCAAGTTCAAGAAGAACAAGAAAAGGGAGCAGACAGAGCAACTGCTGCTAGTCTATCATGCTGAGACCTGTATGACGATTATAAACCTCCAGAAAAGATATCCTCTTGAAGGAGAAAAAGAAATCAAATCTTTCAACTCAGATCTAGTGAGAGGAAAAAAGATGAGAAGGATGGAACAGATACCCCGTGTCGTGATCACAGGAATGCAGCTTTTCGAGATGGGACAAAGGCTGCAGAAGGTCTTCTGCCTCTTTACTCTTTGCGGAGGAAGGGGACGGACCTGGGTGGAGTTAAGTGGCGTCACGAGGTCTTGCGGGTTTGTCGGCGAGATGAGCTGCTACAGATGCACGAACAGTAGGTCGGGCTTGTCAGGTTGCAGCAAACCCAATCGCGTACAGCAAAGCTGGTCCCTGCACAGCGTACTCTCCATTCCGTTCCTCCACAGCTACCTTCTTTCTTCAACTTACCTCCAATCGCTTTGTCTTCCAAGAAAACATTAGCACGGATTTGTTGACATGCGCTGTTACTGCTTTGTTGATTGTTTGCGTCCAAATCCCACAGCTCGGCGAGAGGATTCCTACTTGAAAGGGTGCCTCCCTCGGAGTTTGATGTCCGTGGATTCGTGATGCGGCAGATGCTCTCCTCGGAGAAGAGGAGGTCTCAGCCATGGCAAGAACCGGATTTGTAGTTATCAGTAAAGGATCCAACAAGTATTATTTGGTAAATAGTTTATAGAGATTACTCATACAAGTATTAGCATTTGGCTTAATAGCCACATCAAACACTCCGATTAGTGTTTGGATGAATGGCTAATAGCTAGAGTTAGTATTGATAGGGAATACATTAACGGTCTAACACGTAGACATCACATAAAAATTATCATGGAAGAAAAGAGATCGAGATCACTCTCTCGCTTGCCCGTACGAACAAAAGTCCAAGGTAGACCATTCGGGGTTATCATCCTCCTGCCGCTCATATAAACACAACGTCAAAAAAGGATGTTGAAGTAGTTATGGGTTGTCCCTTCCAAGGCATGGTATAAATGGTAATCCTTGGCGCTACGCCAAGGGGCTCTCTTCCCGAAAAAATTCATATCTACTAAGCCCTTGGTGACTAACTTAAACGTCAGAGGACCGAATCGAAAAACTTCTTCCGATATTGATCTTAATGCAAGTGACACCTCGAGAGCATGATGCCCCCACCTCGAAGCCACTTCGGACACTCATACGCCTTCAAGTTCGGACCATGTTAGGTTGACTCAAACGCCAACGATGATTTCCTTTAACATTTTGACACTAGAACGAGGACTTATCACAGGAATGTCTACCCATCATTCCTCCCAACGAATGCTTTAGCAAGGAGGTTCTACCTCCAACCTATAGCACTTTTACTCAAGGAGACAACTGTCATCCTTCCCATATGTGGATGCATTCATTTCGGTGAAAACACTGATGGAGTACTTTTGGGAAACCGTAGAGAGCATCACATGCATAGTGGAAAATAAAAACAGAAACTAGTTTCCCAAAACAAATTTATCAAATCGTCGTACGAAGATCGGGTGCGAAAAACTCGAAAGCGACAAAACTATATAACTACATAAAGTGGTTAAGATGTTCTCACCTAGGGAGAGATCGTATATCCCCTAATCTGTAAATCTCAATCCGTGGATGAAGAAGCTCTTGCAAACTCCTTTTTAACGGTGATCCACACAACGAATGTTGTGATGACGTACCTCCTCATGTAACATGTTCTTTCGTCGTGTTCACGCACCACTACACCATAGTGGCAACCAAGGAGAGATCGATCTCTCTTACTATCCTCTCGCACTAGACAGGGGGTAGTCAGTCGGAAGAAAGTGCAAGGAGGAGATGGAGGAGGTGGCGGTAGTAGGGGTCAAGCCTAAGACTCACAAAGCCCCAACTCATATTTATAAAGAGCCATATTTACTTACCCTAATGTATCTTGCTTTAATGAGTACTGAATCTCCATCCAATTATCCTAGCTTAATGGATATTGGATACTCATCCAATAACTACTATAAGCCCTATTGGATCTCACTCAATGGATCTAATAAAATAAGAGCTTATTGGATATCTTATATTCAATCCTCTACTCATCGCAATATCCACTATATGTGTGTGATGCTCTAGACCCAATACCGAGTTGGCTGTGAGTTGCACTTATCAAAACTCATTCTAACTCAGTGAATTATTATCCTTATATAATTCACTCTACTCATTGACTATGGACGTACTAGGCCACTATGTCATAGTTCTCAGATGGTACAGGATGATCTAATCCATTGGACATGTCTGCCCTCAATTATCATATATTTGTAGTCCCTCATCCATCTAATATCTAAGAGATTGTATACCGAGCATGGTGCTATCAGGCTCATACGATATCCATCCAAGTCTTACTCTAATCGGATTCTTCTGAAGAGTTCCTCTCTTAATCGAATTCTCACGTTTATCAGATTCATCACAATCCGATTGATCTTGGTCAAGGATTTGCTTGAGTGAGAGTACACGGGATATTCCTCTCATAATACCCAGAGTGAAAGATCCTCTATTGACACCCAATTACCTTTATAAGACTGGCTATCGTTCTCAATGACCATATGTACTAGATTCGGGACTTCCAAACCTATAAGTTTTGATCCATTTTTTTTAAATCGAAACTTTATTTTGAAAGTACTAATTCACCCCACCTCTTAGTGTCTTTATAATCCTAACAATAGAGATGTAGAGCAAAATGTGCCTGAGGCGTGTGAGTCGGGAAAATTTGACTCACGTTAAAAGAAATTTACCACGGTAGAGGCACAGGGTGAATATGCAAGGAGAAATGTGCCCAAGGTATGTGAGTCAAAAAAACCCAACCCTCCCCAAGAGTAATTCGCTATGGTAGAGGCACATGATGAAATGTGCCCAAGGTGTGTTAGTTGGGAAAACTCGACCTACACCAAGTGAGGTCTGCCATAGCGGAGACACGAGGCAAAATGTGTTCGAGGTATGTGAGTCGGGAAAACTCGACACGTATCAAGATTAATTTGTCATAACAGAGGCATAAGGCAAAACGCGCCTGAGACGTGTGAGTCGAAGAAACCTGACCTACACTAAGAAAAATTTGCTTGACGAATGTGTCTTCTTTTGATGTCACAAAGGGGTAGGTTGGTAATGGGCTCGTCGAATGAATTAAAACGTCATACTTCAGGGCCCCCTAATAAGAGCCTCGAAATACGCCTTAGGGGGAACAAATGATAGAGAACATATTAACGACCAACCATCATCCGATACGTAAGAGCCACATGAAAGCTGTTGTGGAAGGAAAAAGATCCAAGTCAACCCCGCCCATCTGCTCACATGGACAAAAGTCCAAAGAGGTCATTTGAGGGGCTATCTCCTTCCTACCGTCCATGTAGACAAAACACTAAGAAGGAGATGTTAAAACAATTACGAGTTATCCCATCCAAGGTGTGGTATAAAAGGTGATCCCCGATGCTATGTCGAGGGGCTCTCTTCCCAAAAAAACCCATACCCACTGAGTCTTTGGTGACTAACTTGAATGTTGGAGAAACTAGGTCGAAAAACTTCTCCCGACATCGATCTTAATGCAGGTGATACCTCGAGAGCACAACGCCCCCACCTTGGAGCCACCTCGAAATCACTTAGGACACTTCTACGCCTTTGGGTTCAGACCATGTCGAGTTAGCTTAGACGTCGACGATGATTTCCCTCGATTAAGTATCATAAACAGGAAGAGTGTATGCATTATATAGCAGAATCCCTAAGACGTTTTACTATGACATCATATCGAGAATTACAAGGGAGAGTCGACCAAGTCTCATATAGAGGCAGATTACAAAGATGGTCGGAGAAGATTCTACTGAGATAAAGCACTGGTGTTGTAGACGAGAAGGGCACCGCCAGCGAGGAGTCCGGCAAGAGTCACAGCCCATATCAACAGTCCTGTGGTTCCTGCAACATTCACATGCACACAATGCCAATTAGTTCCATCTAAACACAATGCTTCTTCTGCCTGCAGTTCCTTCTCCTTCCACCCTTACCTCCAACATACACATCACCGCTGGGCGACCAGTCATTAGTATCGTAGATTGGGCTGCAAGCAAGAAGACAAGCAGGGTTTAGTCAACATATGTACCAACTTGCGTTCAAGATCTTTTACTCATCATCTTACTACATCTCCTTAAATTCTCTCCGTCACAAATTCTTGATTCTTTCTATCATTGTCGTTACTTGTAAAAGCTAGACATGATCTGCATTTGTTTATGTTCTTGACACTTACTCTTCCTTGGTATTGGTGAAAGATGATTCAACCTAGCATGTACAACTCGAATTGATTGGGGATTTTTCTTTTTTTTTATGCGCCTGACCTGGAAAAACTTTGAACATATGACCTTTCGATCTGATACCATCTTAAATTTTATCAGATATGATTTCTATTTCAAAAAATATTGTTAAGAGGAACTTATTAATGCTGTGCTCTTGAAACAACAATCGCATGAGAGGGGACAACCATATGGAATGATGAACAGTACCTGTAGCCATCAACATTTGCACCGTATTTGTCCACAAACTGGTAAACCCCCTTCCCCTGTATCCATTCAGACAAGATGAGAGCTTGTGGTTTTAAGTGGTCTACGGATCCATTGATAAATTGTGTGTGTATATTTTGATGCAGAATTAGAGTTAGAGATGTTCTTCACCTTGCCCTTTCTTCCAGATGCATCCAAGCCGTCTGGCAGGTCCATTCCTCCATTAATCCCTGCAAAAGTTTCATACTTGTTGCTATAGAACCGGGCTCATATTGGATAAGCATAAAGGAGGAGTTTAATCTCCTGATATTTTCTAGTTTTTACCTACAATTAATGATGCAAACAAGATATAAAGATTACATGAAGCTTTTGGATACTACTGAGTACTGACCATAGGGTTTGTCGGTCTTGATCTTCTTGCCACTGGCCTGAATCTTGAAGGAAGAAGAGGGTCTCACCAGGGAAGGAAGGCCCTTCGCCTGTGGCCTCCCAAGGAATGGAGCTGGCTTTAGGGCCAAGGAGGACATCACGGAGGCTGCCATCTCACTCTGTCTCTCTCTCTCTCTCTCTCTTCTGTGTAGCCTTCTGATTGCTATTCTTTTCTCTGCTATGCTTGATATATGATAGATAGACAGGAAGCAGGAGAGTGGTTGTCCAGCTGACACATGGCACTCCCTCTATGGCTGGTTCCTGATAGCTGAATTGCCAACATTATCTTATCCCCATTGAGAATATTTATGGATGACACAGTTTTCACAGCCAAAAAATCTGCAATTTTGCATGGTTCATGTGGATGCACTCTCCAACAATATCTTGCAAGTCTGTGCGCCACCGGAAACCTCCATCTGCTTCTGCACAGTAAGAATGGTACCTTCCACAAGACCTTCAACAATAGAAAAATGCTTTGAGAGGGAATATTTATAATTGCTACTCTGCAAGGATAAGGTTGGGAATATACCTATTCTTTTCCACATATATCTTGCAAAATCTAAAATTGGAAGGATATACATGAAGTTTCTATGCTTTAGAGGGGCATTTATCACATGCTGAAAGGTATTCATGAAAGCCCATAAACTTGGCAGATGTGATACTTACAGCATTACAAGTGTGAGAGAAAAGCATGCATTATGAGCAAACAATCATTCTCCAACTGTGATATATAAATGGATGTTTACATCAAATTATTCCATTTATTACAAGCATCAGCAACCATGTTGTTGGTAAAGAAATCTTCTCATACTAGTAGAGAAGTAATGGTGGAAGACACAGAAGTCACACACACCCATGGCAGTCCTTGCACGTTTCAATCTAAATCTAATTCTCATCCTTACCAGAGTAGTAATGGCGGAAGACACAGGAGAAGTCCTTGGACTCAAAGCCCTCGTCGCACATTTTTTTGTAACTGTTGCCACCAAAAATGGCTAAAATATGTCAAAGCCAAAAACACTTCAAGCATGCAACCAAGTATGTTGTCACCGGGAACTCACATGTCATATGCTTCGGAAGTAATGGGGCACTTAAAACCAACCTCCGTTGCAGCTGCCATGGCCAGTGTCAAGTCCTTGGCCTACATCAAGTTGATATTTTTTTTTATCATGGTAAGCCATACATTTCTATGTATATTCATCAAGGTAGATCAGGGAAAGACAACATTTACAATGTTCATATAGGTGCACATCATTGGAAAGAAAAATTTCGAAGAGAGGCACTTGGATTTGTTTAGATCACTAGGAAACAAGGGAGTTATCCTCTAACATGCTCCAACTCACAAGTTATACCTAAAATTTTCATTTTTAGCAACACAATGCATCCTAATAGAAGATTTACTTAAACCAATTAACTCCCTCAGGTTTTCGATCAGAAGCTAACAAAAGTCGGCTGCTTTTAGTGGATTCCAACATGCATGGCACTACACACCACACAGGGTCATCAACTAAATACAAAAAAATAAGAGCTACGAGAAAATACCATAATAAATTTGTACATTATGGAGAGAAAACAGGTTAGTCATGAGTACTTCCTGTTCTTAGACAATTGTTAACCTGTAGTGTCAACATGAAATCTTTTAAGTAAACAGGCAATAACTTGTGGAATAAAACTTTGGCAAAGATATAGGATATCAGAAATGTACCATTAGTTTGGATGTAAATCCACCATCATAATTCCTCGATGAAGGCACCCCTGCCATTACTCCAGGTACTGGGTTGTAACTGTCACTGCCAAATACTACAGAAATTAGACAACATTTGACAATCTATAGTGGAAATATTTCATGACAGAAAGCACATCACTCTTGAAATTTATTTTATCCTGTAATTCACAGCATTCAGAAATGCATATGAAAGTTTATAAATATCTGATTAGAGGATAATTTCCACAGGAATACTGTCTTTTACTGCATTGTAAGTTTACTTGTAAGACAACCTCAGATGTCAAACAGTCACCTTTTGCACATAGTATTAAGACAACTATTATTCAGGGTGTGAGTCGCACACAATTATAATAGGCTTCTCCTGTGTCGATGGGTAATGATAATAGACCAAGACTCTTAAACACAGAAAATTATGAAATGCAGATAATAAACCAATTATTAGGAATGAAAATATACAATTTTTTTCTAATAAATTTTTGTTTCTTAGCAAGTGGATATAATGAATTTTTTAAAAGAAAGCATGTACAATGTTTTGCGAGCCATAGTCATTGACCAGCAACAAGAACCATGTATCTGAATCATGGAGTATCATGAGAGCTAACAATTATTTGTTCAAGATATGAAAGGTATCTTTCAATTATAGTTTTGCAGAAAATAATGATCTCCTACAATCATGCATAACAAGGTGCAATAGAAGTATCAGTTGGAAAAATTTTGAGATTAAATTGTGAAGTCAACTAGCTAATGAGTTACTTTTATATAAGACAATCTTAGCTTTCATTGAAAGACATACAAGTTATAATGTTCCACGCAAAGGGGGCATCCATGAAAGGTATATGAAATGGGTAGAATACCTAATCCAACAGCGAGCACTTGAAGACTTGAAAACCTTTGTCAATGTACTAGCTGTAATTCCTAAACTTTGACCAAGTGCAAATGCTTCGGAGACCCCAAGCATGCTAATAGCCAGTGCCAAGTTATTGCATAACTTTGCTGCCTGGACACCATAAACCATAATAGGTACATGATAGTGAGGACCCGTGATAAAACGTCAAATCCATCAAAGGAAAGCTATAAAGAATGGAAATAAACTATTAAAATATAAAAGAAGTTCCCTCCAAAGATTCTCTTAGGAATTTTGTATTAGAAACTTGTTCAAATCATGTTTCACCATGTTGAATGTAAGTAAAGTAGTAAACTATTAGAATATAAAAAATAAAGGTAATATCTTGCTGAAGTTTCTTAGCATCTGTTTGATACTATACAGATCCACAAAAAATAACTAAAGAGAAAATCAACTTCATCAAACAATATAAAGCTCTTGCAAGACACATGTAGAGTGATATTATCTTTTTGCTAGAATAAATCAATAGATTGGAAAAAGGAGGAAAAAAAATAGCTTCACCAACAAGTACATAATTAAGACATAGAAGCAAGCTTACAACACCATTGCCAGTTCCACCACAATATATAGTATTTTTACCCATTGAGAGAAATAGTGGCTTTGCTGCCAGATAAGCCTCTTCCATGCCACCAATCTGCATTACATCAGATAGAATTAGTTGCCAGTAATACAAACTTTTTTTTTAGACAACAGTATCCAGACCTGCCAATCTATAAGTTGTGATTCCCAACAACCTCAAAAAACCAGCAAGGACTACTAGGAGCAAATTTTGAAAAATTAGGGGAAACATCTTTTTCCGCGAATTAGAAAACATTAAAAAACAAGTGCAAAAAATAGGAGGTTTGCATCTGTCTCATAAAGAAAAATCCAACGGTTTACCAAGTAGACATAACTCAACTGAAAAATAATTAATGAAATACATTAGATGTGTATTTTCATACCATGAAAGTAAGAGTTCCTGCTTCCGCAGCAGGAACACCTCCAGAGACAGGAGCATCTAACATAATGGGATTTTCTGCATATCCTGCAATCGGAGGGCTTTAATGGTTGCATATAAGTTGACAAAAAAAAGTAAACAAAATGAGTAGGTACACTGAACAAAGGTTGTCAGATGTTCCTGGTGTACACAAAGTAAGTAAATGCTAGAAATCAACATAATGTAGCTAAGTAATATATTGTTTCTTTTTAGTTGTTGATAGAAAACACCTCTCCCGCTATATAACAACAACAACAACAATAAAACCGTAAATCCCAACTATTTAGAGTCAACTACATGGATCTTTTTCCATCATTGAAATCTATAAGAAGTCATATGTTTAGTTACGTTCATAGTACTTAAATCTTCATTTATAGTTTATATTAAAGTCATTTTATATCTGCCTTTATATTTCCTCGTACCACTAACATTAATTATTTCACCTCTTATAACTATCGCATCTAAAGGTCTCCTAAGCACATGCCCATACCATCTTAAATGATTTTCTCTCATCTTATCATTTATCGAAGCGATATCTAGTTGTTCATGAATAAAAGTATTTTTTTTTCCTAACTTTCCTAGTAACTCCACACACATGTATCTCAACATTCTCATATCAGTAACATAAACTTTTTACATATGTTTTTTCTTAATCGTCCAATACTCAGATCCATAAAGTATTGTTGGTCCCACAACTGTCTTATAAAATTTTTCTTTTAATCTCAAAGGTATCTGATAATCATATAAGACTCCTGACACCCCTCAGCATTTTAACCATCCTGTTTTAATGATCTCTCCATTTTGTTGAATAATGGATCCAAAATACATAAAGCTTTTACTTAAAGGGAATTCTTGTCCATTTAGTTTATCTATATCCTACTATCTATTTCTAGAATCATTAAAATTATATTTTATATATTTAGTTTTAGTCCTACTTAATCTTAAACCTTTAGTTTTTTAAGGCTTGTCTCCATGACTCAAGTTTATAATTAATTCCACTTAAGCTTTCATCAACTAACAATATCATCAACAAATAACATACACTAAGAAGGTCAATCATGTAGGCGACTGGTAAGTTCATCCATTATCAATGTTTTAATGATCTCTCCATCTTGTCAAATAATTGATCTAAGATAACTAAAACTTTTACTTAAAGGGATTTTTTGTCTATCCAATTTAATTATATTCTCCTATCTATTTCTAAAATCACTAAAATTATATTTTATATATTCATTTTTAGTCTTACTTAATCTTAAACCTTTAATTTCTAAGGCTTGCCTCCATAACTCAAGTTTATAATTAATTTCACTTAGGCTCTCATCAGCTAAGACAATATCATCAGTAAATAATATATACTAGGGAGGTCAATCATGTAAGTGACTAATAAGTTCATCCATTATCAATGTGAAAAAGTAGGGACTTAATGCGGATACTTGATGTAATTGTATACTAATAGAAAACTCACTAGACACGTTCCCTATAGTTCTAACACTAGTAGCTACATTATCATACATATCTTTAATAACATCTATAAAATTAGTAGATACACTTTGCTTTTCTAAAATCCACTATAATAAATCTCTAAGAACCTTATCATATGCTTTCTCTAAGTCAACAAAAAATATATGCAAATCTTTCTTTTTCTACCAATACTTTTTCATTGATTGTCTTAATAAATAAATAAATTCTATGGTTGATCTTTCAAGCGTAAAACCAAATTGGTTTTAAGATAAATTTGTTTCAAGCATTATCCTAAATAGAATGGCAAGTTGATTTGGATTTAAGGATGTCCATTACACTAATTTTAGACTGTGATGTATAACCAACATATCCTGACAGAAATTTGGTGGCAAAGCCCATTATTATGAAGGCATTGTAGATCCAGATATTACTTTACACTATTCAACATCCCACTCACTTGACATGATTAGTCTTTGAGGGAAAAAAAAATTGGATTACTGTATGCAACAGGAGAAAACAACAAAAATTTAAACAGAATCATTTGTGATGTAACGATTAATGAATGACAAACATACAACAGAAGTTGAAGGGTGATTTGGCCACGAGTCACATCGGAGTACAAGATACATGTCATAAGAATAAAGTTTGTCTGACTCGAGTCAAAATGATATGTATTTGAATAAATTTAACAGCGACGTGATAACAAGAACCATCTACTGCAAACAAGCACATCTCTTATTGTTTCACATAATACCACAAAACAGAAGAAAAATCATTCTAAAATCAAAGTATATTTAACAAAGAAAATAAGCCTTTGACGTTGAACAAAACCTTTCTTTCCTTTGAGATGATATTTTGAGACTTTATCAGAAAGCAGTCTTGATGTTTGTGGATCTATTGTAGAAGAGTCGATAAATAACCAGGGGCTCAGATGATTCCCAGAACTAAGCAAGCCATTTTGACCGGTATAGACATCCAAGACCTGTGAAATGATCCCATAATGTAATAATAACTCTAAGGATGAACATGACAAAGAAAATGAATTAAATTAATGTTAACTACGATCGCATTCAAACATCTTGCAGGATCAGTGAAATTACCATGAAGCATAAACTGTTTACAAATTTATGTATAAGGCATTTCAGCCATCAGTATGCTAATGTTATAATGTAAAGAAAACAGCTTACTAGCATTGCAGTGAACTTTAGAGGCCAAAGTAAATTTCAGCAGGGCCATGACTAAAATCTAAAAATATAAAAATAAATGAACCTGCAGATATCTGACCGAGCAAAATTAAATTGAAGATGTAAAAGCAATCAGGATGAAATAAATAAAGCACAAGGTGTACCAAGAACAACAAATGTAAATAGCTCACATTGGACGAGGAAGGTAGCATTGTAATTATGACATCACTTGACTCTGCAACTTCACGAGGAGTTTCTTTTGCCGGAACACCTCTCTCCGAGAACTTCTTCATGGTACCAATATCACTAGAAACCAGCCAAAGTCTCAGATTTTCTATGATCCACTAGACTAATGCAACATGATTAGAAAATCACAATTGACAAAGTGAACATGCATTCCTTACGTGCTTGTTACACCAATTAAACCAACCCTTCTGATACTAGTATTTAAATAACAATATCCTCCAAGTAAAAGAATCGATTTGAGTAATTCATATTAACGCCTCTATGGAACAGATACCAAGTCTCATGACAAAACGTTGCAACACCAAGAAGTCCACGATGCAGAAAACAAGATAGAAGGCACATATATAAACCAAATAAGCAAGAAGAAAAGAACACAAACTGTATAGAACGGAGTAAAATGAGTGGTTTACATGTCATGAACGGTGACGGTGTATCCAGCATTTATGAGATTAGTTGCCATGTGGAAACCCATATTTCCAAGTCCTATGAATCCAACCCTCTGCATCAACATATCAAGAAAATCAAAGTTAAACTCGTAAATTTTCAAAAAGAAAAATCCAATTTTGCCGAATCGGCATAAAAAAAATTCCGCATAAAATTGAAACTTTTAAGTCAAAGTGGATTCATACGGCCCGTACTTGTGATCGATGCCTATCGATAAACTAGTTTTTACATTACAACGCCAGCAACAGAATCCAAGGTCGGTAATGTGCTCGAACAGAAACTTACAGCATACAAAAAAATCCAACGAACTCGAGCAAAGGAAAAAAGGGTTTAGGGTCTAAGAACGATCGAAGATAGAAAAGAGAACTCGCCTCCAAAAGGATCGGAATAGCGGTCGAAGAGAAGCCTCGACCCGAGGAGGGCTGAAACAGCGGACGAGCGAGACTCCGGAGGCATCTCGAAAGGATCGTATGACGTCGCAATCCAAAGCTCGCCATGGCCGTCTCCGCTGCCACCGCGCTCGCCGGTCGATGCTCCAAGTCAAAGAACAGGGATCAAATGGATCGAGGGAACCAATTACGATCGTTCTTTTTGCAAATTTATCCCTAAAAGATGTCACATTTTCAAACTCGTCCTTTGCGTCCTGTTCTATACAATGTGCGATACTCGAAGCGTTACGTAATCTGCCATTATCAGTTGACCAAACCTTTTATTATTTAGACTAAGTATATCCATATTTTTTCATCGGCTCACTTATGTTTGACATCAAGATAAGAGAATCTTGGCATAAGTCCAAATGGATAAAAAGGATCATATAAAAGGCGATTGAAGTTTGATTCGATAAAAATATTAATCAGTTTAGTTCAAATTTATTGTAAGATTTATCATAAAATTTAGATGATTTATGATAATGGGTCTTTTGTCACTAACCTGATGAATGTAACATAGTCCAAGCGTGGGCTGGCCACAGCCCATCATAAATGGTGGCATTTTATATGAAGTTTAAAAGCACAAATTTAAATCTAATAATGAACATTGGAAAACAGGTTATGCAAGTTTCATCACCTTTTGTAGAATTACTTGCACCGCCAACAAGCTCAGTAGAATGCGCCCATTCACAAGGAACTCGTACCGCTCAACGCTAGTGCTGCAGCATCCTCCCTCCTCTGGGACAACCTGCACCTGCTACGATATGTGATTCTTGTACTTACTGCCGATTTGTTCCCACAAATAATATATAATTGATGTAACATCAATGGGAGTCTGCTTTGGTACCTGGTTCAATTAGGACGGCCTCATTCTCCTTGTGGCATCCCAACAAGGTCAGAGTGTGGATGTACTTGTAACTTTTGTAGCCACTGCAAAGCTGCCATAAAACTGAAGTAAACAGTTCCATTCCTTTGAGTCAATCCCAAGTTCAACCTCAGGATGTCCTTGTAGCTTTTATGTAGCCTTACAAAGCTGCCCGAAGACCAAAACGAACAAAGACGGTTTCTCTGGTGAAGTTATCAAGTACTGTGTCCAATCATTGAAATGTGATTCATCTCAGAAGGCATATATCCTGCAAGTATCTATTAGTCTTCAGCAATTCCCTTTCATCAGAAAAAAAAAAAACTGAACTGAAGCTAAAGTTCGAGGACTGAAGTATCATGATCAGGTCTTTGTCTAGCTTGGCAGAATGTGTCTCCTCTAAGTACCAGTTTTACCAGAGATTTCCTGCCAAAGTCTCAGTTTCTCCCATTGATAATGCTTATCTACAAGTACGATACTACAGTAGAAATATCAGCCAAGCATTTTATAATAAGCTTCTGACTACATGCACTGACTCTCCTGCCACTTAATCTGGCTTCCATACTTTCCTTTCACAAATCAATCTGAAACTTCACTATGGAGTTTAAGACTATTTTAGAGATCTTTCTAGTTCTACCTTCTATTAGACCTCTGTAAATATCTGAAGTAGCAGCTTCTCAGTAATTAGCTAGTAGAAGATTTTCTAGAAAGAAAAAAATCTTGAGGACTAACATATTTGTCAAGCTGCCATGATGCGGACCATCACTCCTCCGTGCAGGAAACAATAGACTAAAACACATCAACAACTCGAAACCTGCTTCCATACAAAAAGATGTTAGATCTTCACTGAGATGGAATAGCATTAACGATGGACTCAAGCCAATTTCACAAGTATCTCCAGTTGTCTCTCGAGAAACTGACATAAACCGAAGAGCATGTCAAATTTTTTCCATTTTTTTCTAAAAAATTTTGTTTGAATGGCTGTACCAAACAGTGACTAAACGAAATAATCACCACTGGCAGAAGAATCACATTTAGAACATATCAAAATGAATCTGGAAAGAAGAGCATTTACTTGTATTATGAAAGTAAAAGAAACAATGAAATCATAACCCCCGCAGAAACAATAACTCCGAGATAGAATCTGAATTCAGGTAAAACAAAAGTTACACAAAGAACATACCCAAATTACGTGAAACTAGGAATTCATGTTATGTTATATTGCAACAGAAATTCTTGGAGCTGAAAGTTAATTCATTAAAGACAACAACTGCGCTGCATTAATCCAACACTATGTGCAGTTTCCTTCGGAATTGAACTGTAGGAGCACAAAAATAGCATCATTGGCAACAAATGATCAATGCGTGTAAACAGAAAATATCCATTACAGATAAACAGTTTTAGCGATCAAATTTGGCAATTGCCATCCGAATATTGCAACTTGGAAGATATGTAACAACCATGAAATGCATGCCCTAACAACCCATTATTGCACAATTGTAAACAAAAGCACCGGCTCGTTCTCGAATGGAAAGAATATCCCAGTCTGCTCCAGCCATATTTCCCTCCTCCGGACACCAATAGTGCAGCACAATGACTTCACCTTGAGGCCCTCTATGACCACCAACCACGAGCAACTTGTCACCACATGCTTTAAAAGCAAGACCCCACCCATTGGAAGAGTCAGCTCTTACAGGCAATGGCCTCACAACATTCCAAGTATTATTCTCCTTGTCGTATTTCTTCACTTCATTTGTGGATTGATCGGCAGCATAAAGCTGATTATTAACAACCGCAACCAATGGGGGAGATTGGGTAGCCCTGTTACCACCAGGATACATATTTCTAATTCTCCTCCATGTCCTTGTTTTAAGGTTGAACTCTTCACCGCAAGTTAAAGAATCCGTATGGCTTGACATGCCCCCTATAACATAAAATTTCCCATCCATAAAAAAGCCAGAACATAATCTCCTTGGCATATTCATATCCGGTAAGGCCTCCCAAGTACCAGATTCTGAGTCATACAACTCAACGCATTTCAATACATGGCCAGCCATATCACTTCCACCGGCAACGATAGCAATTTCCCCTGAGCTACTTGACCCAAAAAGACAACGAGGTAGACTCATCATTGGACACCTAGACCAATCACATGTCACTAAGTTGTACATCCAAATAGCAAAACCAGTTAATTCTCGGCCAAAAACAAGAAGCTGGGTCCCTACAGCAAGAGACTCCTTGTCTGCATAAGAAAAACATTCATCACATGGCATCCTTGGTAACCTCATCCATCTCTGCCGAACGGGATCAAATGCTTCCCAAGGCATCAAACTACACGCCAGATAAACCCAGTGCTCCCTTACACCAAGTTGTCTCCTTAATTTGTAAAGATATCCACTACGAATCAGCCAGTTAAACCTCTTGTTTACACAAGCAAGTGAAGGATAGTCAGACCTACATGACAAAGCTAGGCAAACTAGTGCAACATCATCAACAAGTCCAGGGAGGAGACAGCCATTCGATTTCTGAACACTGTAATTACCTGCAGGCTGTCTCTTATACACAGGTCTTCTCCTTGTAAGATCTGTAAGGTCTAAGTTTAGTAAATTCAAATCTTTGTCAAAAATAACTTCATTAAGCACTTCAAACAAGCTCCCATTTTTCACCAGCAGCAGATAAGTCCACAGATACCTCTGAAAAGAACAGTGGTCCTGATCAAAAGATCTAAAAAGTTGTGACAGCACGCATCCTGTAGAGCCAACCATCATTCCTGGCTTCAATCCTGCACCCCTTTCTCAAGTGGACAGCTCAAAAGCTGCAGATATCATACAAATGGCCATTCACTTCTGCAAATGGAGGAAAAGGAATAAGTTGTGAGCTGCTAAAACCATTTCATTTACTTGATGCTCATGCATTAACAGGAAATGCAACATCAAAAGTTACATGCATCAAATAGCAATCAAGTCGAGGTAACATTGGGTAAGCTTGTCAGGTATTATCGGGCAATTCCCCATCATTATTGCTCTGTAGACTCAATTAACTTGTACACTGTATGGACGATTGTACTGGTATCATCATTCATATTTGACATCTAGCAGCGGTTGCATGAACTCATGCAGTCAATCTTCTGGTTTGAATTTCAAAAGTATTTTTGAACTTTAGCATGACATTAGCATTCTACCTGAACCCCACATTTTCCTATTTGTCAAATATTTTAAAATGTCAACTCTAAATAAAAATGCACTATTATAAGCAATACATCAGACAAATAGTGTACGAGTCGGTCAGCTATACTACAGTGTGACAGTGAAATAGGTATCATAAACACAATGATGGTGGGTATCCAGAAATTAGGGACGAAACATGCATGCCAAACTAATTTATCAAGGTATAATAATCCCCAAGAAAGTCCGCTCTAGGAAAACGTGAAGAACCCCAAATCTCACACGTTTCCTCAAGAAACTATTTCATCGACTTGTTACATGTAAAATTCCAGAACAAGACTTCAAACTTTCATGGCGTCAAAGAGAAAACAAGACAAGAAGAAAACATACTAGTCCTTCAACGAAGAGATGCTGATTTCACCTTGCAACGACATCAGCAGCAAAGATTCCGGTTTTTGGGTAAGGACTAGAAGATCAGACGGTATCAAACGCATTCTCCGTCTGCTGATCCCGACTTCCCAACACAAAGAGCTACACGCTCCGATCTAAAGCAGCAGAGATAACCACCAGGCCTCCCGATTCGTGTACCACCCTCGGCATTTGAAGAAAACCTGCCATCGGAGACCGCATTCCATTAGAATCTCCGAGAGCTCGTCTACGTAGAGCGAGAAACGAAGTCGAAACGGGAGACGGCCGCCTAACCTCGGCGAGAAGCGAACTTGGTGGGGGATCAAGGTCGGGCGACGCCGGGATCTCACGGTTCCCCGGGCGGGAGAAGCCACCGGAGACGCAGATCGGGGCGTCGGAGGCACGGGTATCGGCCCCCTCAGGCGGCGGAAGGCGGCATCCGAGAGGGAGAGCAGCGGGCGATATAGAATAGGAAAAAAGAGGCGAAGAAACGATCGGAACCACCGCCGCTGTCGTCGTCCCCTCTCCTCTTTTCCTCTCTGACTCTCTCTCTCTCTCTCTAGAGTGGCATTTCTTTAAATATTCTATTTCGCGTCGGTTCCCCTTTTTTTTACTTCTCTCGTCCTCGGCGAGAGCGCGTTGAGCCTCCAACGGAATTTAGCGCATAGGAAGTCTTATGCGGCAGAAACCTTTTCCCTTCAATGGCGGGATTCTCTTTTGCACAAAGGCATCAACGTTTGCGGAATTTGTATGTACATTAAAAATATTAAAATATCTAAAAATATCCTTATTTTCATCGAAAACTAAAATTTAAAATAGTGGATACAATATATATAATATTTTTAAAAATATTATAACGATCTGTAATTTTAACTTTTCATCACGGCAAGCGAGGGATGAACGGACGGCAGATATGGCTGTCGCATAGGAACCGTTATGCCAGTGCATGCGTAATAGCATCCCGTGCGTGCGTCAGCGATGCAAGCTGGCTTGTAAATTTCCACTCTGTGGAACCGATACCTGAGCTCCGTACCCGCGTACACGCCTCACTCGCGCACGTAGCCACACATAAATGCGGGTCCCATCGCATACTCTCTGTTCTCTTGGAGTTTGTGCGATAAACGTACCCCTTAATTTTTGCCCATGCACCCTCCACTATCAGAGGCGGCGAAGCGTAGAGAAACGAAGAGGAGGAAGGTGGGGGTGGTTGGCAGCCTCTCGTTGTGGATAAGGGGGCTTTTCCCCGGACAAGGCGAGAACGGGTGGGTGGTAATCACGGGGTCAGTGGGAAGCGGCTACGTTTCCGCCTCTCCCCACTTTTTACCCTTTCGGGTAGGTAAATCCACTGTCGTTTTTTGACCACCTGAAGCTGAGGAGCTACGGATCTGTTGTCCCCGACCACACAGGCGACAGCTTGACAGACAGACGACGTCAGCAGCTGTGACCGAGATCGGTCGTTGTTGTGAATACGACAACTTTGGAGGGGTGAATAGGAAAATTCCGATCCTCCATGGTGCGTGCTTTTACTACTCGCAGTGCACAGACAGGGCAGCACCAGTGTGGCCTTTCCAACGAAGATGATGGTGCAGTTGAGGAAGCGGGTCTTCTTCATGGTAGGTGGAGGTGGGGCCACATGCTCAGGCCTTCTGCATGCCCTATCGTTTAGTGGTTGTTTCCGGCTGTCCCACGGACCTGCGCTCCGACCGCTTCCCATCCTCTTCGCAGGAGAAGGAAATGACGACTGGGCATGCATGCGTCGCAGTCCAATCCCCGCTCCTCCTCCTCGAGCATCATTCCTATCTGCTCCGGTGTGGTCTCGAGCATCACGAAACTTCAGCCGGAACGCACAATACTCGGGGAATTTTGATCGACTCAGATTTTTGCTTCTGATGAGGATAATAATGGCGACAAGACTCGGGCTGATGTCAGTTGCCTCATATGACACCTCACACCTCGATCGACCCGACAGCACCTGATCAAACGGATCAGAACACCGGTCGAGACGCATTAACGTCCTGCTCAGGTCCGATCGTCCACGCCGCACCAACCCTAGTATCAGACGCTACCAGGAGTACGAGCCTGTCTCCTGCAAGCGGGCACATCAGGAAACAGTAAGCTTCCCTATAAATATCCTCGCGTCCTGAACGAAAAAGGGGAGGGAAAAACACACACAAAAAAGACATCTTCCCTTCATCTAACTTGATCGTCGGAGGGGTCGGGCCAAGCTTCGACTCGACCTGTGTATAGGTACGAAGACAGGGCTACTTTTCCACCAACGCCGAGGAGAGGGACCCTTCCATACTAGATGTCCCAACGACCCCCGACGCGATCCGATCTGCCCGACCACCACATCAGCAACCCCGAGAGACCTTGAGCAAGATTCCCGCCATTCGAACCCGAACCAAGCCGTGTAGGCCCCGAGGCCACGACTTAAAGTTGTTTACCCTAACAGCTTCCGTCTCACATATTGTCTCAAACATTCAGATGGAACGATAACAATAAAATTATTATTGAGATTCAAAGGAAAAGATGAATCCATGGTTCTGTACACTTAGGGATCCATAAAATTCGTGTCAAATGGATGGCACAGCGAAGAAGACGATACATGAAGTCACGGAAATCGACCAAAATGTTTTTGAAATCCTTCGTTAAATGCCTTAATTAGGTGATAAATATTATCCCAAAAAAAGTTTAGTGGGCCTTATTAAACTTTTGTGCCTCCATGATCCTGCCAAAGTTATCATCAGATCTTAAATCGGTTTGATCGATTGGGTTCGATTCAGTCCTCGCCGAGTGATCCTGTCTTATCATGGAGTAAAATGCGAGTATCAATGGGATGCTATGTGGGAGCCACCGCAGCTATGTGTGACCTCGAGAGGCTGGTGGGTATGACATAAGCCGGATGCATTAAGAAGGGTTAAACGTTGATTTTAGTTCATGCAATTTTGGTGAGTTTATTCATATTTAAAATATTTTTTATATTTTTAAAAATATAGTATATAAATTTTTTTCGTCAAATCTAAGTTAACAGACGTAATTTGTTTATATGATATTAAAGTATTAATATAATAATATATATAATTTAAGTTTAAAAAAAATTAAGATCAATTTTAACTCATGTGTTTTTAGTCATGAATCTTAAGTCCTTATGATTTATTCGTATTTAAAATAATTCTTATATTTTAAAAAATATAACATTTAAGTCTCTTCTATCATGTCTGAATTAATCGACGTTAGAGTTGACATGCCGACTCACAATAAATCATTAATATAATAATATATATAATTTAATTTTTTTTAAAAATAAGACTACTATCATGACAGAATGAGGCATCATCGTGAAAGCGACTACCAGCTTTAGCACCGAGCCATTATTGTCTAGTAAGTCAATTATTGTCTAGTAAGTCATTGTACACATGCAACCTCTGTGACGCTAACGACAAGTTCAAGAGGTTCTGATCCTGCCTCAAGTGAATGCATATCAATCAGTTTGATACTATGCATATAATGGTCTTCTGGTCCCTCTTCCTCCTAATGGGCATCTTTGTCCCTACTGCCTTCCACTTCATCTTTTCCTATGCCCTCATCAATTGCACTTAAGACGTGATGGTCCAACTCTCCCTCGTTTTCGTCTCCGATCTCTCCTACCTCTGTCTTTGCCTTTGTCTATCGGTATGACTTCTGTCACTTCCCTTTCCTCGACAAAATGGATAAAATTATAGAAGTTAAAGTGAACCTTAATCCTAAAAAATGAAGCTCTTCATAATTCAAAATAAACATGAAAAATAGAGGTCAATAATGTCACCACACCTCTTATTTGCATGTATGAAACCCTCCTTGATCCAGTCGAGTTAATAATAATAATAATATCTCTCATGATATAATAACTAAATTTAGTTAAATCTTATTCAGTCGAGTTCTATTTTAGGAGTCAATTAGCCTAAATCATAGTTGAATTGGATCTATTGAAAGATTAATTTAATGACATAGAGTTAGGTTAAGCGGTAGTACCGTTCAAGCAGGTGATGATATCGTTAGAGTCCAAGTTCTCAGGCTATCAAGCGATCGTACTACTCAGATAGATGATATTACGATTAGAGTCTAACTCTATACAATAGTAGTACTGCCCGACGTAGGTGGTAGCATTGCCAGTACCTCGAAAACCTAATAATTTAAATTTTTTGTTCCATTTTTGAAGTTATTTGGAAACTATAAACATCCTACTTGCTTGATGAAGTAAGAAAAAAAATATGAAAACCTTATAATTTGAAGTATATAAACTCTCTTGAAAAGTGGTGAGTTTCTTCCTCCCTAAGTTCAAAGGTCATTCTAATGAAAGTGTGAGGTTTTCTTACAAAAAAAAAAAATGTGTGAATATTCTCTCGTAAGCTCATGAAAAAAAAAAAAGAATTGTAACAAAGGTAGTTGATCTTCACTAATTAAAAAGATGATCGGTAGTAAAAATCGATGGCATCGAGGGAAGAGGAATCAGGAGTAGATGTAGGTCGAGACGACCGAACAACTATAAATCTAGTTTACATTTCTCTTTATACTTTTTATTATTATTACTAACTAATTTAGTTGCTCACTACCCTTACTCATATTCTAAGCTAAACATATTTTCGATATGTATTTTTTGATCAAAATTTTTTAAATCAAAATTTTTTTTTCAAAAGAATTAATTCACCTCACCCTCCCTCTTAGTGCCTATCCTAACATAACTAAGGTCTTCAAAATATATTTAAATATATTTTTTGGCCTAAATAATTTTTATTTCACCTTAAATTGAGAAAAATAAAAAGATAGGCTAAAATAAATCGAAAGTCTAAAAAAAAGGCCTTTCTAAGTTATCTCAAAGGTTTCTTAAAAAAATTAAAATTTAAGAATCAATAGGTAATATCTATTGTTGTTACTTTACGGTTTTGTTATTATCGATTTAAAATGTGCACATAATATTATTATATTATGTTTTAAGTTTGAATTCAATAAATATGAATTTTGTTTTATTTCCTAATCCATGTGAAGCAATAACAAGAAAAATTGCTTCACCGGTTATGGTTGTTGCCCTCCTTTCCGATCTACCATTGGCCGTAAGAGTTGCTACTCTCGATTGACTTTTATGATGACTGGCCAAGGTTTGACTTGTCAGCATCCAAGTGGTTGAACCGGTCAGCCTCATCGATACGTGTCACATCCACCACCATTTGATATCGGGCCTAATTCTCGTCAAGCCCGCTTGACTAACCGAGAGCGGGTTGAACTCGTCGAGGGTAATTATGTCTTTACATCTTTCCGGTCGGGTTCGGGTTTCAGTTAGAATGTGGTGTTGTTATGATGCAAAACCGTCAATTCAACTTCCAAATGTTAATATTTATTTATGTTTATACACGAACGGATGAGATTAAAAAGAAAGAGGAGATGAACGGCTATCGAGAGATCTTCGTAATAGGAAAGGGTCGGAGAATTTGCGTTGCAGTTGACCTCCTTTTCCTACTTCGTTTCCAATTCTTATTGATGTTAGGGAGGAAAAGAAAAGCTATATATTAAGCACATCGGACCGCAGAAAGAGGCCGAAAGCAACGACGGGTTGCTGTCTTCGAGGAATCTCCTTGCGGCTGTGTTGTTGTTTCTCTTGTCTTCTGTCATCGAGGAGGTATTCGAAGTTCCCGTTATCGACAGTTTGTTATGATGCAATGCGTCATGTATTATTGGTTCTGATTTGGGCATCTTTGCTCGTTTGGGTGTGTAATTCTATTGGTTTCGTGCGTGATTCTTCTGCGGGCGGATCTTGATTGCTTGCTCCGAGGGGCATCACCTGGTCTGTGGATCTTTGGTCGCTTGTTGTTTGGTTCTGATTGGAGTTGACCTGTTTGGCAATTGGGTCTGCAGTTTATTCAAACAGTTCTTTTTGTGGGGAGTTCCAACAGTGATTGGTATGCTCTTTCTGCAGATCGGTCCTAGGGTTTGTTTGTGATGTCTCGTATAGGAAGAGGTGGGAGATAGCTAGTTCAGATTGTTAGCAGTTGCAATGGGGGTTAGGGTTTTCTTTTCTTTTTCTATTTAGGCCATCTATTATATTTGTAATGATAGCACGAAATCTCTTATCTCAAATACGTAGTGTTAGATGCATTCCTTGTGATATCAAACATTTAAAATAATATTAATGCGCTTCACCAAGTTGATACAAGGGTGGAGCGTTTGATGCATACACATAAACTCAAGCAATTATGTTATCCTGTAAACATGGATTATATTCCTCATCGATAGATTCTAGACATTCTTCCATATGCAAAAAGATTTATTTCGGTAGAGGGACTTGAGAGATTTTGATATAAAACCTGTTAAACGCTTCGTGTGTTATGTGAGAAAGCTCAAGTACTGTGAATGGATTAACCTTATTTCAATGTTGACATATACGTTAGTTTATTGTGTAAGAAATGCCTTAGAGCAACATATAACCTATAAAAACCTCCACCTTGGACATCTCGATTCCTTGGGATTAAAGTTTTTTTTTTTTTTCACTTTAGAAGTTTTGCATGCATTTTTCAAGCAAAACGTATCCTGCATCCGTTCATTAATTATTGCAGGCTTTTTTCAGGTACTTGGGGATTCCAAGGGCTATACATCTACCAAGACGAGAAACAATGTCAGATGATACGCCTATTGACTCCTGGGAGGCTGCAGACATTCCTGTGACAAATTTAGGTGACACCATTGAGCTGGACAGTGACACTTGTGGTTGCAAGGGATCGAAGGTTGAACAGTCACTCCGGCACCGAAGTGGGATTTACTATCGTACATTTGATATTAGCTCTGGAGAGGAATCAGATTGCAAACAGTCTGTCAAGGTTTGTCACTAAATTATCCACATCTTCATCGTACATTTTCTCACTGTGCTAAGCTTATGCATCCTCAGCGCAAGCTTAGAGGCTGTACATTATAAACTCAAAACCAAAACCTATGTGCAATTTGTATGTAACTGTCTTGGTTTGTAGTTCATTTCATATCATTGTTACAAATGAGATTGTTTGTCATAAGTACTGCATTATGGACCAAGCTGTTGCTAGAAGTAGATTTGGCAGTGGACTTGCTCCATAAGTCAATGATGTTCTACAGAAGTAAACACATGATTTTATAACTTTTTTTTTTTTCATAAGACACTGATTTATCTTACTCTGCGCATGAATAGACCTCTATTGCCCTTCAATTTACTATTTATTTTCTAAAAGGTAAGAAGGCATTGATTAAAAACATAACCATGGTGATGTCTAGCTGTGGTTTTCTTGTAGGATCAACCTTTGAAACGTTCCCGGCAAAAGAGTGATGTGTCCAGAAGTGCTAATAAGTACAAATGTGAAATGGTAAAATACTTGAGAATTATGATTTTGATACTTTCTTTCGCAGGGTAGCCACCTACTAATTGCAAATGTTTTAAAAGCAGAAACCTTTTAGATGGCTTTCCAAAGATGCACGCAGACCTGTTATCGATGAAGCACCTGTGTTTTATCCAACAGAGGAGGTGCTTGTTAAAACTTACCACTAGGAGCTGTTTAGATAAATGCTGTTGCTCTATGTATCTTTTGCTTATGAAATAATTTGTCTTCTTAGGAATTTGTAGATACACTTGGTTACATTGCTAGCATAAGAGAGAAAGCAGAAAAATATGGTATATGTCGCATTATTCCACCTTCCTCTTGGTCACCACCTTGTCCTCTAAAAGAAGAGAACTTCTGGCGGTGTGCTAAATTTAGCACTCGAATACAAGAAGTTGACAAGCTTCAAAACAGAGAGCCAATGAGAAAAAAGTCTAGAAATCGTTGTCATAAAAGAAGGCGAAGAAAGCGCTTGAGATTTGGGATGACTCGTAGGAGAAATGCCTCTGCTGCTTCTGAAACCAATGACTGTCTTGGCTCAGACACAGATGAGAAGTTTGGTTTTCAATCTGGATCAGACTATACACTTGAGACATTTAAAAAATATGCTGATGAGTACAAAAGACGGTATTTTGGAGTTAAAGGTGCTACTGAAAGTATAGATTTCCAAGATGACAACCGTGAGAAGAGGTTGGAGCCCTCAGTAGTGGATATTGAAGGAGAATATTGGCGGATAGTTGAGGATCCAACTGATGAGATTGAGGTATTAGCTTCTTTATCTTTATTTTTATTTGTCACAATAATAACTGATAATTCATTCCATGTTCTTATTGAAATACAGGTCCTTTATGGTGCTGATCTCGATACTGCAACATTTGGTAGTGGGTTTCCTAAAGCATCTGCAGAAAATAAGATTTCATTGGATCCTTGTGTTCTTTCAGGCTGGAACTTAAATAATCTACCACGGCTTCCTTGTTCGGTTCTTTCATTTGAAAAGGAGGATATCTCAGGGGTGTTAGTACCTTGGTTATATGTGGGAATGTGCTTTTCCTCATTTTGTTGGGTAAGTCTATGGTTGATTTTTAAAGTTCTTTCTGCCTTCCATCCATCATTTGCTATAAAAATCTCACTACTTTATTAATTGAATTGCTTTTATTAAGTTTTTCCACCAATGAAAAACAAAAGTTTTGGTTGTGCAAAAATGGATGATAGTTAATCCACAAAATAAACTGTGATGACACTTCTTGTTTTATTATGCTTCTTTTCTAAGTGATATTGCTCTTAATACAGCTGAATGGTAGAAAAATCAAAGTAGATGACCCTAGATAGTTGGGAATGACATCTATCATATTTTTGATATATTATCCCTTGCATCCTGCATAGATCTATATAATCTTCTATATATAATTACTATGTGTGTTCTAGCTTCTTTTCTTTTGCCAATATTCTTTGTAATTTGCATATTCTGTTTGATGATCATTAATCTCTTTTGGCAATGTGTCAAGGTAGCATGTGGAAGACCACCATCTTTATTCTTTAAACTACATGCACTTTGGTGATCCCAAAGTATGGTATGGGGTTCCAGGCAATGATGCTGTGAAGCTGGAGGATGCCATGAGAAAACATCTTCCTGATTTGTTTGAAGAGCAACCGAATCTGCTGCATGAATTGGCAAGTTGTACCAATTTTTCGTTTTAGATCTTCAACAATGCTTGGCTTAGAAATACATGTATTCATCATCCTGTAAGTTATGGCTTAGATCGTGATGCACACCCTCATCGTGTCATGAGATCTTTTATTAGTATGTTTTGTATCTTCTTCTTGACTGCGTGATTTGGGTCTCAGAGTTCATTCATAATTTTTTTTCCCAGTGTAAATTACATTCATTTAATTTTTAAACTACATTGCATCTTGTATATTTCTTTATTTAGCTGATAGTATATATCTTCATCTCATTGGTTCTAATTATTGAAATAGCCTCTCAACACGGGGGGAAGACTACATGTTTGATTCTCACCAGAATTCTCAATGGCGGTAGACTTTTTAAGCTAGCCTTCCTCTTTTAGTTCTCTCTCGTTAGCGTGTTCTTTGAATATGTGGTTAATGATGAAACTGGCAAAAATATGTCAATGTACATTATAAGCTCTTCTTGTTACTTTCTCCAAGTCTTGTTTTTTATGTTGACCATTCAAATATTGGTTTCTAGATCTGATTTGGATTTTGAATTTTTGGTTTTTTTTTTTCCTTATGCTTGTCCTTTTCTTGGTCACCAGTCCTTTGGTATCTAAGAAAATATTTTGGGCTTGAGATCATAAGGTTATGAATAACGATTTATCAAGTTCTTTATATATATTCATGCATCAAGATATGAGATGCCCATAATAAAACTAGTTGAATCAAAAGCATCAATTTGGCATACTATGATTTATTTTAAGTGATGATTTTGATTAGTTGTTCCTTCAAATGTCTTGCCCACAAGCACACGCACACACACAAGAAGTAAGAGAAGCCTTTACCATACTGATACTCATACTCTGGCAATGTGCTACAAAGTGGGTCGAGCATGTCTTTTGTCTTTTAATACTTGAACAAACATAATTTCTGGAGTGTCTTTTATAGTAATATTTTTTGTCACTCAAATTGGAGTTTACGTATTTATATGATTTTTACTGTATAAATACATGACTGTTTTGGGAGTTTAATTTCTGATCCAACTTAAGCAGGTTACGCAGTTGTCCCCCTCTGTCCTAAAATCTGAAGGAATCCCTGTATATCGTGCTGTTCAGAACCCTGGAGAATTTGTTCTTACTTTTCCAAGAGCATACCATTCTGGTTTCAACTGCGGATTCAATTGTGCTGAGGCAGTAAATGTTGCTCCAGTTGACTGGCTTCCACGTGGTCTTTGTGCTACTGAGTTGTATAGTGAACAACACCGGAAAACATCCTTGTCCCATGATAAGTTACTGGTAGGGGTTGCAAGGGAAGCTGTTAAAGAGCAGCTGGAGCTGTATTTTCTTCAGAGTAGCAATCCAAGATTACTTAGGTGGGAAAAATTTTGTGGGAAGGATGGAGTTCTAACTAAGGCCCTTAAGGTAATATATCTTTCTATTTAAGTCATTCTTATCTAGCAATAAGTTTCTTTTTCATGAAGATGTAAGCGAAGCCAAAAACCTTGATTATTGACATCAAGGTTCTGGGATCGAACCATCTTCATAATTTACCCTTTGCCAAAAAAAAATTTCTTTTTCATCCTTGCCATTTATTACTGTTACAGGCAAGAGTCATTATGGAGAATAAAAGAATGGAGAGTGTTTCTAGTATTTCAAATGTGAGAAAGATGGACAAGGATTTTGATTTATCAACTGAAAGAGAATGCTTTTTATGCTCTTATGACCTGCACCTGTCTGCTGCTGGTTGTGAATGCTCCCCACATCGCTATGGATGTCTGTCCCATGCGAAACATGTATGCTCCTGTGAGCCTAGTAAAAAAATTTTACTGGTTCGATATAACTTGGATGAACTAAATGCCCTCGTGGTGGCTCTGGAAGGGGATTTGGGTGCAGTGAAATGTCACAGATTAGAGGACTTTGGATTGGTGTTACCTATGCAGTTGAAATTATTGGAAGAACCAAAAGATTCCTTGGATAAAGGCATCTCTGAACATGAGAGACCACTGATTGAAGTAGATGCTATGGATGCTGATACTAGAGTCCACAATCAGTATAGTGATGACCAAGTATCTAAAGCTCTTTGTCTTGAATATATAGAGGATAAAACCTTCAGTCTTTTTCAAAAACCAAGAAGAATTCATAATATCAATGAGCTGTTTACATCTGGATATGCTCATACTGCAGAAATTGTCATTTCAAATGATGAAGAAGGGAATTGTGTAAATACAAAATCTGATGCAGTACCTTCAGATGTGAAATCATATACTGTGCTGCATAATGTTATTGGATGTCAGGGGTCATCATCAGGAAAAGCTAACACCTTCCCATTCAGCAGGAATGAGGATGAAGGGCATCAGTTTTGTCCAGATCTGAACATAGGACAACCAACCATGGATTCTGTGGTCAAAACTGAAGATTGTTGTGTTGAATATACCGAAGCAGTGGTATGTGCTGTTAAGGAAGTGCAGAATTGGAACTCTGATTTATCTCGACCGGAGTGTTCCTCAAATCATAGAGTCGCTGGTGTAAATGGATATGGCAAGGCCAGGAAGAAAATGGAGCATGGTACTGTGAGAAAAAAAAAGAAAATAAGAATGGGTTCTGATTGTGGGTTCTCAAAGTCCTCGAGTCCTGCTGACTTGGGTTCTTCCCATGTTTCTTCTGAAAGGTTTTTAAATAAGACATCGTGTTCAAGCGATACTGAATGCTTCCATAAACTTAGTCCTGAACTTTTTGGAGTTGACCTACAGCATGATCTCTACAGTTCATCCATGCCTTCAGACAGTCAACGAAGTCAGTCTATGAAGGATAATTCAAACCATTCGAGTGCATTTAATCAAGGCATTAGTAAATTTGAAAAGACTCATCTAATGCCAAAATATTGTGTTGAGCCTCTTAATTTAGGAAAGTTGAAGCATGGAAAGCAATGGTGTAGTAGAGAAGCCATCTTCCCAAATGGTATATTTCAATTTGTTCAATTATATAAACTTTCTTTTTTGCTATTTCATAATATATTAACGAATTTGACGTATTGATCTTACAGGATTCAAAAGCCATGTCAGATTTTACAATGTGCTCGATCCGACAAAATTATGTAACTATGTCTCGGAAGTTCTAGATGCTGGATGTTTGGGACCTTTGTTTAAGGTTGGAAGCCTAGGATTTGTATCAACTTTCACTTTGCTGATATGCTATTATCAAAGTTCACCTCTTTATTTGCATTACATGAAGATTGTTCAAGTTACTTTCCCTGTAGGCTTAACCTATTGAAAATGTTCTTTATCCAAACATTATCGCTGGAGCTATCACCATTAAATTTACTTGTGATGGTAAAAAATTGTTAGATGCAAATTCTGTTGGTATATATGTAAATACAAAAGGACACTAGCCATACAACTTTACATGATCAGATGCAGATAGTACCATCACAATATACAAGAACAACAAAAAAAAAATTTCTTGGCAACGAGCCATGCTTCATTATAAACTACTACAATTTTTTTTCTTTCTCCCAAATGCTCTTTCAAGATGCATATATTTTAAAGAAAATATATTTTTTTTTGGCATTCATATATATTTTTCTTTTCCTTTTCAGTCTGTCTAACAAGCGTCTTTGAGCTGTCTAATTCTGATGTACATAGATCATGACTAATCTAGGTTTATTGTATGCTTGACATTTTGTTTAGGTGATTGTGGAGAACAACCCAGGGATATCTTTCACTAGCGCTTCTCCTTTACAGTGTTGGGAAATGGTTCGAGAAAGACTAAACCAAGAGATTGTTAGACAGCAAAATCTTGGGAAGAATGGCCTTCCTGAACTGCAAACCATAGAATCCATGGATGGGCTTGCAATGTTTGGGTTCTTATCCCCATCAATCGTTCATGTAAGTCTTACTCCTTCATATCCAGAGCCACTACCTTTTGTGTTTGTGTTGCTGTTGTCAGCTTCTATTAGTCCAAATATGATTAAAATCTACCACAATCTTACCTTTTGTGTTTGTGTCTCTGTTGTCAGCTTCTAGTAGTCGAAACTTGATTAAAATCTACCACTACAAACTTACTACTAGTTTTGTTATTTGTGCAATATCCAGCCATAAAATATTATAATATAAGCTAGTCTTTTGAGTTTGTAAACTTTTTTAACCTTGTTGCTTGGATCACTCCTGGAAGTTTTCCAGTTTCAAAATGTTGAAAATTCCGTTGTTATTTTGTAGGAAAAGTGAATTCTTTCAACCAGTTTTAAGTAGTGATCATTGACACCCTTGTTTAATTTTAAGCTACTATTTTCTTCATAAAAATTGTTAACTACATTGTATGAGACACTTCACTACTTAGAACTGCCAGCAGGTTGTTGAAGCTCTTGATCCTTACCATCGGTGTTCGGAGTACTGGGAGTCCAAGTTGGGTTCATCATATGTTTCTGAGAGGACGGATGTGAAAGATAAGCCTGCAGAAGTTCCTACGACTTTAGACATTCATGTCGGCAGTAGTGATTGCCATCAGGACAAGAGAATTTTATTGGGAGTGGATTTAAATGAGACGGAAGAGGATGCAACATATGACAATACTGTCGAAGAGGTTAAGAACATAGCGAGAGGGCTCTTCAAGAAGGCAAGCCTTGAAGAGCTACGGGTGATGCAGAAAATTTTGTGCAGCGAGTCAGGAAGCAGCACATGGAGAAGTGCGTACGGGGCCCTATTAGATGAGATCCTGGAAAATGTACATAAATAGAGTATAAAAGCAAGCAAGATGAGCCTTTGTTAGATTGGCGATGCAACTGCTTGAATCTCTGCAGTCTTCTAGATGAGACAATGCCATTCAGAGCCACTGTTCGTTTGGGTTGAAGTTAGACTGATCAAATTCTATAGAGTTTTCCATTTGGTTATTCTTTCTGATCTCCATAAAGAACATGATGAATTCATGCACCGGTCGACTTGCCTGTGCAGCTAGATAATGTTTTTAGGGTTTGTTTTTTTAGTTCTTTTTTTTGGGCCCCGGGCCATTATTGCCCGTGGAGTGCCTGATGTGAATAATTGCTAACAACACAGGCCATTTGTACAAAAGATAGTTTAAGACTAATTTATACATTCGAGAAAATAAAGATTGAACACATGAAGATGTGGTTATTTCTTGAACTTGCTGTGGTATCCGTTAATGTTTCACCTTTGTGAATCCATTGTCGCAGAAAGCAAGGCTGCCGGCTACTCATGTTGGGGGAGTACTCTTTTTTGTACTATCACGGGAGACTGTAGGAAGGTTAAAGAAAAAACCATATGTTTCGTGAGAACAAACAATTATTGGGAAATATATCAAAATATTCCCACCATATTTCTGCCATTAGTAATGCAACATAACATTGCCCTTCACGTCCCATTTTGCTATCTTTTCTTTGGTTTGATCTTTGTGATCGTTTGCAATCTATATGTATTTGGTCACTTGTTGACCTTCTCTCTCTCTCTCTCTCTCTCTCTCTGCCGTATAAATATGTCGTGTAGAGAGGCAGAGCCATCTTGCTGTGTGTAGTTTATTCAACTCCATCCGTGCTAATCAAAATCTTCTTAAGCCGAAGAAACCGAGGAGAAGATTGGAACTCGTGGCTGTATTCAAAAAGCCCGATCAGAATCCTGACAACATCATTAATCTAATCCAACAACTCCCTCCCTCCCTCCCTCATGAATGAAAGAGTGCCCAGAGTTCTTTTACGAGCCATCGTCACATGGGTTTACAGCGCCTGCATCCAATCCAAACGATTCATTCACATGCGCCCTCTTGTGGGATCTGATGGACTAAAAAGCCAGGGAACGCTCCTCCTGTCTGATCACTTTTCCTATCTTGGGTTCTTCCCAACCCGTAGATTCTGTGATAAGGACACGTTGAAAGATAGATTAGGATGCTTAGTTGCACCGCCTAAGAGCTCAGGTTTGTCCCCTTCTCTCTCTCTCTCTCTCTCTCTCTCTCATGGGGTTGAGGGTAGCCTGAATCCTCTTCATCTTCTTTACCACACCTTCACATGGGTGTGCTGGGATGGAGGATCAGATGGACCAGATTTCTTGCACAAGGAAAGAGAGAGAGACAGAGAGAGAGAGAGGATTCATCACCTTTTTCTCCCCTCCACCCCGCTTCGACCATGCAGACACTCACTCGTATATGAGCCCAGTATCCAAAAACCGATATGGTGTCAGCTTAGATGCCTTCCCTTTTTCCTCTTTCGAAAGAAATTTTGTTCATCTCAATCCAATTTCTCAAATTGGGTAGAATTTCACAGGTTTTATAGATTCGTCCGAATCCGTGGTTGGATCCACTGTCGTAAGAGCTGGTTTCGATGGGCCCAACTTAAATCCCTTCTGCCATTGTCTTCTGGCCCAAGTTAGCCCACTTAGCTCGCTGAGAAGCAAGCTACAGCTGATGGTCATCGGATCACGTTGGCTAACAAATGGACGGTCGGGATTTAAAGGATCGAAGTGGATAAACACCCCGGTGATTTAAATCGACGTTGGAGGGAGGTGGTGAGTGTCTCGATGGAGGCGGTCAAACTTTCTCGTGGCGATGGCGCCGATGCACCCCGCGGGGGACGTCAGAAGCTACCCGTAAGCTCCGTACACTAAGGGACCCACCGCCGGTCGCTGGTGGGTGAGGACGGTGTCGGAGGCAGAGAGTAGCCCTTCGCGCGTCGACGACGGGGTGCCACGCGCGGGAGGCTTACCGGACAGCGAGAGAAGGTGGCGACGCGCATCTCGACGTGGAAAGTCCCCCAAATGATTAACAAGTCCAACACCCCCCTCTCCCTACCGCCGAAAGCTCACCGTTCGAGCGGCGAAGCGCCGTTTACGTCGCAGCTTATCCCCCCGTCCAAAGACGGCTCCTTCGCTGCCGTTAGATCAGTAGAAAGACACTACTGTTTCTGATGGCTATCGAGGGCGGGGAAGGCAATGGAAGCTACAGTACCACGGAGGACATGTCCTTTACTCAAAGTAGGCAAAACAGCCGCTTGGGACTGTCGTTTCACCGCCACCACCGTCACCACCGGGCCATGCGACTTGTTTTCGGGCCTCCGCTACGGTCCTCCGACCATGCTGTACTGCTGGACCATTAAAACGGTCGTGGCCACTTGAAGCCACCGGCAGCGTCTGTACCATCCGTTAATCATTACTCGCCTGGCTCCAGTTGTCGGACCCACCCTCCGGCCATTTCCTGACTCCCACCACAGCCTGGGTGGGGGAATGGGGGATATTAGAAGTGCCGATCTGAGGGCGGGGTATTTATTTGACGCGCTCATCAGCGATTTGGTGATAACTAAATAGGAACAAAAAGAAATTGCGAGGAAGTAAAAGCGGAGCAACGGCTTTATATATATATATATATATATATATATATATATATATATATAACACGAAGCCATCGTCTGTGAACACACTCATCCGCTTCTTCATCTAAGCCGATCTCTTTTCTCGTCTTCTCCTCCTCCGTCGGCTTCTCCTTCTCTCGCTTATTTTCATGGCGTCCGCCATGGTCAACAGCGTTGCTCTCTCGCCGCCGCCGGAGGCGTTCCCCTGGCTCAGCCCTCGGATCTCCTTCAGCCACGACGCCGCCGACATGCCCCCCGTGGCCCCGCCGGAGGGTCACCCCGACGACTCCGCGGAGGACTTCGAGTTCTGCCTCCACGACGACCCCGTCGCTATGCTCCCCGCCGACGAGCTCTTTTCCGGCGGTAAACTGGTGCCCCTGCAACTGGCGCCGCCGAAGCCGGCGGCGGAGGCGGAACCCACCTGTACCGCTGAGATCGGCTTGCCGGAGCCCCCGGAGACGCGGCGGAAGGCGGAGATCGCCGGTGTCGACCCCTACGCGTTCTCCCCCCGCGCGCCCAGATGCACTGCTCGTTGGCGCGAGCTGCTCGGCCTCAAGAGGGCCCGGGGAGCGAAACCTGCTGGACGAGTCGCCGCCCCTGCCGCTACGGTCACCGCCACTTCCAAGAACACAAACCCTAGGTCGTCTCTCAAGCATCTGCTCCACCGGCACCCCAAGCTCGCTTCCCTGGATGCGTCGCTGAGCGTCCCCCTACTCGGTGACTCGGAACATGAGTCCGCGGCGACGGCCTCCCGCCTCTCGCAGTCCTCGTCCTCGTCGTCCTCGTCCTCGTCCTCCTCCTTGGGTCCCGATCACGAGGACCTCGCCAGGCTCTCGATCGACTCCGACAAGCCCAGCCACGTCCCGCCCCGGGTCCGCCTCTTCCGGCCTAGCCCACCGGTGCCGGCGTCGTCGAGAGCAAGGGCGGGTCCGACCCGGCGGGCCGCCGAGTCGGCTGCGCCAACCCCGTCGCGAGGGGTGTCGGTGGAGAGCCCGCGGATGAGCTCGTCGGGGAAGATCGTCTTCCAGGGCCTGGAGCGGAGCTCGAGCAGCCCCGGTAGCTTCACCGGGGGGCCGAGGCCACGGCCCCGGGGGGTGGAGCGGTCGTACTCGGCCAACGTCCGGGTCGCCCCGGTCCTCAACGTCGTCCCCGTCTGCTCCCTCCGTGGTTCTGGCAAACCGGTGTCCGTCTTCGGGCTCGCCCATCTCTTCACGCCGCATCATCAGACGAAGAAGGACCGCGACGGCTCGGCCTCGAACCGGGCCGATTTGACGCGGTCGGCCCGGCGTCAGCGGCGTCTCGGGCAAGACCGACAGCCTTCCCCTAAAATAATTATCGAGAAGTAGCAGTAAACGAATAATAACTCCATTAACAGTCATTTTTAATCCAAAATCCTCTGATGTTGTTTTAATTGCTTCCTCTGTCACCTGTAAATAATGGTATTATTTCTTTTTTTGTTCTAATCCTCATTTTTAGTGGTATTTGTTTTTCTTTTTCTTTTTGGCTATTCCTTGATAACCAACCCAACGCTGCGTTATCTTAAACTCGTCGCTGTCTCGCATCATACGATGCGTTTGACCAAGCTAGCGTGCGCCCTCGAGCAGCGTCGGTTAGCGCCAGGCTCCCGGCGAGGAGATTCGGCGCGCACGTTAGCCGCACGCGGTCACGCCCCTACCAGAAGTTCGCCGTCAGCCGCGTCGCGTGGCCCGCCCCGCTAAACTGCGCGGAACCGGCCCTCGGCCCGGATCAGGTGCGCACGCTAGCCGGTGGTCCTGGACGTCCGGCCAGTTGTGCCCATGTGCTGCGCGCGCTCTCTCTTTCCTGCGACCTTCAATAATTAGCCATAAATATGCCTCCCGTTCACGCAAATCCTGAATTATTATGATTATTATTGTGATTATTTCCCATGGAATTGTTACGGAGACAGAGACGCAGCATCCATCGTTCACGAATGCTCGCTTCCTCATTCACTTGTTCTCTCGCCTTTGTCCTCACGGTAGCACTCCGTGTCGGAGTTCGGCCACCTGGGCCGGAGCAGGAGGTCGTCGCGGGGCTCCTGGTGATGTAACGGGATCCGACGGCAGGTGTTCTCCTGGTCCGGCTTCGTCCTTTTCTGCCTTGCGCTGCTGTTGGATGAGGAGGCAAAGATTCTAATCTCCATTACATCATCGCTGCTCCAAACATTTCTTTATTGATTTCTCTTCCGATCGTCATGTTTGTTTTGGCCGCTAGCGAGTGAAGAGCAGCCAGTTCCTTAGCTGTCCTGCCCTTTTATTTATCGTTTCCAAGGGGGGGCAAAAGAACTGGTGGAGTGAGGAGAACCATGTGATTCTTGGCTGTACTTTGTGATGATCTTTGTTGATACAAGCGTTCGTCCTCGGGACCGTGGCCTCTCTCTCTCTCTCCCCATGGCAGTCGTTGCCACTGTGGGATCATGGGAAGCGAATGCCACGCAGCAGTGGTAGGATGGATCTGGACTCGACAGTATCAGTCATCCTTCATGCTCTATGATTTCTCTCGAACTGATGCATGTGTGTTTTGTTCAAGATCTTTGCTGGAGTTTGAGCTCCACTAGCAAAGAAGAGAATGAGGTGCACCAGAGGAACGACCGGCACTCCATACCGGAGTACCCCTACCTCGAGCAACTCGTGGTGCGTGGGGTGGGGACTGGTTTTGAGTTGATGATGTGGCCCATGTCGCAGCGCACCTCGAGCACTGCCAAATGACCTCAGTGCAACTTTACATTGTGATGTTCGCCATCATTTCAGCAGAGCCAATCATCTAAGCAGATAGATAGTCCTTTTCCGTCGAACAACAGTCGATGGATAGTCGAAGCTGTAATGCATCAAAGTTTAGATCGCACCATCTCAACAGCAGAGAGAGAGAGAGAGAGAGAGAAAAGGCTTGGGCATGGAGTCTGTCTGCAAAGTTAATACTGTAATAAAGGCTTTTATCTGAAAGCTTAAGCTTTTGGCTATCGTCGTTTAGAGGGTGGCTTGGAATCTTGGAAGCGATGACAAGGAGGAAACCAGTCGCAGTATCTGGAACTGCTGCAGAGTTTGATGGAGCCAAAAAAAGTGCTTAAAACATGGCATTGCAGGGTGGCCTTCCGGTCTTGTGACTCCTTCACCTAGCGTTGACTCTCAGTACAAATGAATTGCTTCATTCTGGGAGGGAAGTAAAGGAGGAGGAGGCATCTTTGGTCACCAAAGTAATGAGTGGTGTCGACAAATATCATGATAGTTTGGCATGATCTTGACCTGATTCTTGTTGTCTTCCTCGAAGCTTTGAACCGATAGCCAGAGGCTCAGACCTCGGGAGTACTCGGAAATTGTGACTGATAACTCGGATCGTGAATTGGAAAGTAGAAACAAGTGCATCTCCTAACTCCGATATTGGGGTGTAGAGAATGTTTGTGACGAGATATGCAGGAATCAAACCCTATGGATGGATTGATGAGATAAGAATGTTCATTGAAAGTAAATATTTGTCGACACCATCTTCCTCGTCTCGTATAGAAAATTATAATTGAGATTTGGATGGTAACAAATTATGCGAGAGATTCGCAGCTTTATAGCAAATCTTCGTCATGATTTGGATGGTATTCATCTTTTTGGAGAGCCAATCATCCTAGAAAATGTAATCGACGATGGTTCGTTCAGCTTCAAGAATATAGGATTAGTGGAGAGAGAGAGAGAGCGAGAGAGAGAGAGAAAAGGACAATGCCAGTGATGAAGACGATGATGATTGCAATAATGGATTGTCGTCTTGTCTTTTGAACCGAGGCTCCCACAAATACCTCATTCATCACTCATTCGAATTAATCAATTGGGTCTTATCATTTAATCTGGTTTTAAAATTAGGAAAACATTTTTTTATTTTTTAATCTTCAAATAAGTGTAAAAAAATTTTATATATTTTTTTTGTTTTTTAATCATGCATAAGAATTTAATGTAGCAACAATTTTCTAAGACGTTTAGTCAATCAGTTCAGTAGCATTAGATTGTTTCCTCATGCTCTAATTTTTCTTATCTACTTTACTAATATCTTCTTGTTTTGCATGTTATATTCAAATACAGAAAGAAAAGCAAGTAGTGGCTAAGTAAGATAGAGCTCTCGAAGATCAAACAACAATCTTTCTTCCGATGTCATTTAGTCTCATAGTGGTTGAGGAGTATGGGAACCAAGACAGTTTTTAGAGTTCACATGTTCTGAAAAGATAAAACCGTACGAGTACGCCCATCGTCCAAAGCGGATAATTCCTTACAAGCCTACATACCAATGGTCAACCGACCAAATTGTCCCTTATCATCATCTTATCGAGGATGTCAACAAAATTCTCTGTAAAGCTCAGTGATATTCTATCTTTAATAGAATCGTTTAACTCATTTAAAACTTAAAAGAAAAAAAGCCTTCGAAAGTTTGATTATGAGTGCCCAATCATGTTATTAAGATTATGTACATTTTTCAAAGTAACGAAGTTATTGATTAGGATAAAACGATTACTTGTCTAATACTTCCTTTTATCTGAAGTATTTTTTTTCATTTCATTCTTCTTTACAAATAAGGACTTGCACTATGTATCTTTCTTTTTTTTTGTCAAAATTTTGGTACATAAAAATATATATATAAGTCAATTCTATAACCTAAATATTACTGCTAATAAACATAATATTTCAAGAGTTGCTTGGCCATGTCAAATCCAAAACCTGATTGACAAGTTTAGTTTAATGTTGCAAGACCTATAATGCTTCGTATTCTACATTGAGGCTCCTCTGAGTTTAATCCCAAACACTTTTTTGTATCGATTAATTCATTCTTATTATTTAACTTGAATTAGATTCACAAACACTTTTTATTTCTTAGTATCATCGTTGTCTTCCTAATTATTATTATTATTATTATTATTATTATTATTATTATTATTATTATTATTATTATTATTATTATATTATTATTATTATTATTATTAAGGATTTAGAATAATAAATGTTGGTTGATATTCCGCCTCATTCTACGTAGCGAAAAAAAACCTCAAATTTTCAAGAATCGATGTTTTACCTCTACATGATAATTATACACAATCAATGTTTACATGAATAAGACGACCCCAAAAGCCCCAACCAAAATAGTATTGTCAAGTATTCTACTTATCGTGTAAAGCATGAGCAAAATCAAAATATAGAAACACACATAAACATTATATCGAATACCCTATTTATATATTTATCCGTGACATTCTCTCTCACTTATTTATTAGACATTCTTATTGAAGTCTTTACCGATACAAAATCTTTTTGCTTTTGTTGAATTTTTAATCTACTCTAATTGTAATATGTCTCTTGGCTTCTAGTTGCTTTTCGTCGCTATTGTTGAATAGTCGAACTTTGATCCGTCAACATTGTTTCAACTTGCCAATAACTCTGACTATAGTGTGGGGTTAGTTGAGTTGTACTAATCTTTTATGTTTCCTATGGATCTCTCAGATGAAGGAAAAGACTTTCCTTATTACATGCTAGTCTCTCAAACTTTTCATGCTACTTGAATTGGATAAATATTTGTTGGAGCTTTAACGAGCATCAGTTCACATATTTTTAAGTTTTTGAGACCTTTCCTCCATAAAATTTATTCATTGATTTCTCTTATATTTAGTTTTTATCTCTAAGTAAGTTCGTATCACTTCCACTTTCGATTAATATTCTATTAGAAAATAAAATAAACAATATACTCTCGATGGAGTTTATCACCATTGGTGAATATTTAACAATTATTATCTTTTGTTAAATTTCTTCAAATGTCTTTAAACACATGCAAAACTCCTTTGTTAGATAAATGAGAGAACTGAGTACTCGATTTTGCCCATTCTCTTAAGAGTTAAAAAGATAAAAGTTACTTGACTTTACTCTCTTCCTCGAGAGTTAATTACTAGCCTACTCTTTGCTCATACTTTTGAGGTACCAAAAGTATTTACATTTTTTATGTTGAGAAAACGGATTAAATAAAGTGTTTAACTTAAGATCCAATAAGCAATCATTTAAAAAATACTTGATATATAATATAAATTATAAATATTTATTTTGTAAGCTCTAGACAATCATATGACAAAGCGTCCAAAATGATCCGTCACGTCAAAAAATTCGTCCACATGACATTATTATTGAACAAGATAATGAATTAACCATAAGCACTACCCTAAAGACTTATTCAGTCATATACTACCTGGGTGCTCTTGGTGCTATACTAAGTGACACTCGGCACTACTTTACGGAGTTAAAAAATCTTTAAAATGATTACTTGAATGTCCTATTTATAAGTAATTCCTCCTCTATACGATGACTACATATAATCTATATTTATAAGATTGAAATAATCCCAAAAATAATCAAATAGGCTACCAATCTCGTTACATATTATGTTACATAAATATGAATAAAATAAAAAATATAAATATTATATAAAATATCCCATT